GGGAGGTGTGGTGGGGGGGGGAGGTGTGGTGGGGGGAGGTGTGGGGGGGAGGTGTGGGGGGGAGGTGTTGGGGGGGGTAGTGGGGGGGTAGTGGGGGGGGTGGGGGGGGTAGAGTCTCACTCAGTGAGAGACTCGTGGGCTGGAGGATGAGTGAGAGGAACATGAGACACTGAGGGCAGCAGGGTACTGCAGAGGAAATGTCAGTGAGGGCAGCAGTGGGAACCTGCGAGCGCGAGGCAGCTGCGTGGTCAGGAGCTTGTGTAGGTGGACAGGGCAGAGAGAGAGCATAGAGCAGTGGTTGTAGTAGAGGGGGGACTGAGATAGCGAGGGCAGCGAGAAGCACTGCAGAGGGCAGCAGTGGGAATACCCCGAGACGAACGGGGGGGAGGGGGCAGCTGTTTCTCGACAGCTCTCAGCCGTGGGGAGATGGAGTCGGGGTCTCATTGAGGGGGACCAGGGCTCACCTCTCCCCGTATATTTGTCTCCCGTGTCGTGCGATCTGTCGCGGCCGTGAGAAGTATACGCGTGTAACTGTGAGTGCTGACTGGGATCTGCGTGTGCATGTTGCAGGTACTGGGCAAACATGAAGCTGTGGTTCAAGCACAAGATCAGCAAAGAGGAGTTTGACTCGGAGGCGCGGAGACTCCTCACCCAAGACATGGGTGAGCGTGGGGGTGGGAGCGATGGGGCTGATGCGGAGTGATTCTGGGTTGATGCTGAGTGCAGCCTCTGATGTTAAGTAATATTCGTGATTCTTGATTTGAAGCTTTCGTGACTGCAAGGATTCATATTCTTAGGTTTTTTCGGTAAAGTCACGTAGGTAAAAAATTGAAATAAGAATTAATAAAAATAAAATAAAAAATCACGACGTTTCGGAGGCAACACAAGCTTCCGTCTTCAGGTGGAACCGTCACAGCCACGACAGCTGTATCAAGCAAATGAGAGTTTGCAGGAGCTACCAATCTCTCATTTACTTGATACAGCTGTCGTGGTTGTGACGGTTCCACCTGAAGACGGAAGCTTGTGTTGCCTCCTAAACGTCGTGATTTTTTATTTTATTTTACTTTTATTAATTTTTATTTCAATTTTTTACCTACGTGACTTTACCGAAAAAACCTAAGAATAATATTTGTGATGTTCGTGCGAGTCATGACCGGTGTTGATGTGTGTTTACAGTTCACCTCCACAATGACTTCCTTCTCGCCATTATCACCAAGTGTCAGATCATGGTGACGGCTTCCGGTGAGTGCTGCCATTCAAAGTTTTTGCTGCTCCCCGTGTATTGATTCCCGTTTGCCCCTCGATCTCTGTGTTGAGTCTCCTGCTGCCCCCGTGTGTGCGTGTGTGTGAAGTTTTGTGTTGAGACCCATGCTGCTGCTGCTGCTGCTACCCCCAGGCCTCAAGGAGGGTCCGGGCCGGCCTGGGAAGCCAAGCCGCAAGAAGAAGCTGCCCTCGCTGCGGGGAAAGTTTGAGGTGAGGGCAGTAACAGCCGTGTAGTGAGTGCGCGTCTGTATGATTGTGTATGGGAGTGGTGGTGTAGCGGTTGGCGCGCTGCGCTACAAACCTGGCGTCCTGAGTTAAATTCCCGCTCACGGCCAACACCGGTGATGATTATTTGAACCGGTCCTGGGCCTCCCCTAGATCGACTCCGACTGAAAGAAGTACCTGGTGCGGTGTGTAAAAACATGTCTACTGGGGAGACAAAGGCGACCGGGCGTGATGCTGGCCACCCACCCCCTCGTGTGCCGTATCGGCCTTCATAGGTGGTGCTCGCTAACAGCACTTGCCCCAACAGTCTGTTCAGGCTATATGGGGGATCTTTGTATGAGAGCGGTAGCATGGTGGTTAACGCACTGCGCTCCAAACCCGGCGACCCGTGTGCGATTCTCGCTCACAGCCAACATTGGTGACGAATATCTGAACCGGTCCCGGGCCTCCCCAAAGTTGACTTTTCTTCTTTCCCCACACCTTCGATTAGCACGGTTGGCTACGTACAGTGCGAAAGAAGTTCAACATACATCCAGACTCAGACTTTAATGAGGGCCTGGTGCGGTGTTCGGTGTTCAAAGATCAGCAGGACGTGGTGCTGACCACCTTCCCCCTCGTGTGCCATCCGAGCCTTCATCGGTGCTACTCGCTAACAGCACTTGCCCCAAGAAGTCTGTTCAATAGCTTTATGGGGGATCTGTGTGTGTGTGTGTGTGTGGTCACAGCACCGCTTCCAGGAGCAGGATCCGCTGGCCGGCGCCACCTGGGTGGGAAGCCGCGTGTGTGGCCCCGACGGTGTTGTGGGCACGGGCGACGGCGTGGACGGGGAGCGTGCCGGCCCCACCGCCCCTGCGCTCTGCGTGCAGTCGCTGCTGCTGCCGGCGCTGGGCGAGATGATGGGGCGTGCCATGCTGGTGGCCTGGGAGGCCGGGTTGGACTCGGTCTCCGAGGAGACGGTGCTGTGTCTGCAACATGCGCTGCAGGCGAGCGGCAGTGGCACCACCACCGTCATCGTCACCGCCACCACCGCCACCAACGGCGCCACCACGACCACCACACCTGCCCATCTGACATCATTGTAATCACCGTTACCACCGTCACCATCACTACCAACATAACCATCATCACCGCCACTCACATAATTGCCACCATCGCCAACATCACCATCCTTATTCTCACCACTGCCACCATCCACTCCTATCCCTCACCGCCACCTTAAACACCATCACCAACAACACTATGAGTTACTGTTGTATTACAAGCGGTTGTGGCGAGTGGGGAGAGCATTGTCTTAGCTGCTGTTGTGTGCTGGCGGTTGTAGAACCACCTGAAGGCGGTGGTGACGGCGATGCTGGTGAGTAGGCGTCCTCACCGGGTGAAGGACGGGCGGTTTCGGTACGCGTACGGCACCACTACTCCCCTGCACCCGTACCTACGCAACAGCTGTGTAGCGCACCGCAGCAGCAGCAACAACACTGACAGGTACGAACATCATCAGCCAATATTTTAAACATCACTCACCCCCGCTAACCACGAAACCCACCACGAAACTCGCCACCACTCTTACCACGCGACGCTCACCATACCGTACGGTCCCATCACGAGGCTTTGCTGGTCGGTGCGATGTTGGTTGGTCTGGTTCTCGGATAGCCTCGTGGTTTGGTGTTCGTGCAGTTTTTTTTTACGGCGTTGATGTGGTGTGGTCTTGTCATGGTTCACCCCTGCGGTGTGCTGTTTGTGTGGTTAATGTGATGTGGTGTGGTATGATTGCTGTGCGGTTCAGTATGGCTGGTTGGTGCGGCGTTGGTGCAGTCTTGTGGTCTGTGGCACGGCGTCAGTGACGTGTGGCTCTCCGGCGGTGCTGGTGCGGTGCAGTGAGAGTTTGTGCCGCCCGGGCGAGGAGGCGGAGGAGCGTGCTGCCCTGCTGCTCGCCTGCTCGGGGTCGGAGGTCGTGCCCTCGCTCCCTCCCATCAGCCTCGTGGATCTGCAGCAAGCGCTCACGGTGACTGACGCAACCCCGAACTCCGCACTAGTCCTGGAATGTCCCATTACTTTAGTTGTTGATGACTCGATCGTTTCGTATGTGCCGCCGGACTGAAGGTAACAGGCAGGGTTTGGTGACATCTCCGTCACCATCAGCCGTGTTCTGCCTTGGGGGTGCGGTAGGAGTGGGGGGTGGTGGTAGCCACCGTATTTAAAAGAACCCGAGTAATCGGCCATACAAAAAGTAGTCATTTATAATTTTAAAGTGGTAATATATTGACTTAACCTACTACTAATGGCGATTGTTGCCGATGCTGCTGCTCTTGCGAAAGGTGCACAAGCAGATCGTACCCTCAAGATAATGATGCTGATGGTAGAATAATACTAATGATGATACCACTCGAGCTGCTGCTACTAATATGTATTGAACTTCTTTCACACCGTTTATAGCCAACGCTGATATCGACACAGAAGCTCGTGCTGATGGTTCTGCTGCTGTTACTGCTGCTGCTGCAGGTGCACAAGCAGGTGATGCCGTTGCACACCATGTGGTCTCTGAACATGGAGCGGATCCTGGCGCGACGGTGGCACCCGGACCGCGAGGAGGTGGCGTGGGACGTGCGCCACCGGCAGCTTCTCAGCGGAGACGGTGCCGGGGGGGCGGCGCTGGGGCTGTCCGCGTGGGCCAGTGCATGAGGGCCAGTGCATGAGGGCCAGTGCCTGAGGGCCAGTGCCTGAGGGCCAGTGCCTGAGGGCCAGGGCCTGAAGGCCAGGGCATGAAGGCCAGGGCATGAAGGCCAGGGCATGAAGGCCAGGGCATGAGGAGCGGGGGCCCATGGCAGAGGGGTCCATGGCAGAATTTTTTTTTTCACGGTGGATGGGCCAATGATGAATGGGTTAACACTGGAATGTCTTCTTCTTGGTTCTTTCGGTAAAGTTACAACGCAAGCAGCCGTCCTCAGGTGAGGACGACTGCTTGCGTTGTAGCCGAAACGTCGTGAGAATTATTTTATTATTTCCCTTCTACGTGACTTTACCGAAAGAACCAAGAAGATGAATCACTGCAGTCACGAAAGCTTTAAATCGAAATTTAACACTGGAATGGTTCAGTGGCAGGGCCCATTGTGAAGAAATCCACGTGAAAGGGGTTAACACCAGAGACCCATGGAGCAGGACGCCTCGGTGGAGATTAGCGCCCGGTTGGTTGGAGCACGAGTGATGTGGCCAGCAATGGTGGTGGGTGCTATGGTGGTGCAATTGTTGATGAGTGCAACGTTGCGTTGACGTTGCATGTGACGTGTTGGTTGCATTTGGTGTGTTGACGTTTTTGCGCATGACATGTTTCATGTTTTGCGCATGACATGTTTCGTGTTTTGCGAACGCTGCTGTACATTTCATATCGCGTGCGACCGTGAACATCATTCCTGTTTTATACCGCATCTTCCAATAAAGCGTTGCTATGTGACGTTCCTCCCAGTGTGCGCTGGTGTCCCTGTCCCGCGTGTTTACGTCAGGACTGCATCCCATACCACCTCTTCCATAACTCTTTTATTACTTCATAGATTCCAGACAAACACGAGCGATGTCCGCATGGTAAACAAGCCACGCAAAGATCCCTCATGTAGCCGACACGGGGCAGTTAGGGTAAGTGCAGTTAGTGAGCAGCTATGAAGGCCGGCACAACACAAGAGGGTGGTGTGGCCAGCAACACAACCAATGTTTACACAGCAGCAGTTACTCATTTAAGGCTGAGGCAACCCTGGGGAGGGCCTGGACCGGATTGAATGTTCACCGTGGCCAGGAATCGAACTCGGATCGCCAGGTAGGTAGTGGAGTGTGCTAACTGTTGCGCCGTCGCTCCACCCATGGTAGTGAAGGGTGAGTGAGGAAGGAACAGTGGGGGTCATCTGGGCACCTCCTCGCCCATGTGACCCCCCGTGTGACCCCCCGTGTAACCCATGTGCGCCAGCAAGAGGTCGATGCCACGCTCCAGCGCTCGCTGGATCTGCGGCTCTTCCTCGGCTGAGAACGGCGCCAGCACATGGGCCACCAGCGCCGCAGAGCCCCGCGCCACGTCGCCACGGCCAACGCCAATCCGCAAGCGGACCATGGCCTGGGTGTGCGGCACAGGAGAGATGCAGCAACAACAACAACACGGAGTGAACGTGGGGTATGGGCAGGTTGAGAATGAGACTGTCAACACCCGTATCCCAATACCTGCATCACTCAAGCTTGCCCCACACACACCATCCACATCAACACACTGGCATCTCACACACACACACCATCAACACACTGACATCTCACACACACACCATCCACATCACACTGATATCTCACACACCATCCACATCAACACACTGACATCTCACACACACAGACACCATCCACATCAACACACTGACATCTCACACACACAGACACCATCCACATCAACACACCATCCACATCAACACACTGACATCTCACACACACCATCCACATCAACACACTGACATCTCACACACACCATCCACATCAACACACTGACATCTCACACACACACACCATCCACATCAACACACTGGCATCTCACACACACACACCATCAACACACTAACATCTCACACACACACCATCCACATCAACACACATCACACACACACACCATCCACATCAACACACTTACATCACACACACACACACCATCCACATCAACATACTGACATCACACACACACCATCCACATCAACACACTGACATCTCACACACACACACACACCATCCACATCAACACACTGACATCACACACACACACACCATCCACATCAACACACTAACATCTCACACACACACACACACCATCCACATCAACACACTTACATCACACACACACACCATCCACATCAACACACTGACATCACACACACACACACCATCCACATCAACACACTGACATCTCACACACACACCATCCACATCAACACACTGATATCTTCTTCTTGGTTCTTTCGGTAAAGTCACGTAGAAGGGAAGTAATAAAATAATACAATAATTCTCACGACACTGATATCTCACACACACACCATCCACATCAACACACCATCCACATCAACACACTGACATCTCTCACACACACACCATCCACATCAACACACCAAAATCACACTTGCCCATGCACCACACCCGCATCACCCAGCGCAGTGTCACAGTCGAGGTGTCTGGAGGGGAGGTACTCACATCAGACCGCAGGCAGTGAATGCAGGACTTGACTCCATTGTGTCCCCTAGACACAAATACAAAGATTCCCCATGGAGCCTTTAAAACACTTTTGGGGCATTTCTGTGAGCAGATATGAAGGCCAACATGGCACGCCATGCCCGGCCGCCTTTGTCTCCCCAGTGCTGATGTTTATTTACATCAGGTACTCAGTCGAGCTTAAGGGAGGCCCAGGTCTGGTTCAGATACTCGTCACCGGTGTTGAACTCAGGTTGCCTGGCTCGCGGCGTAGCGCGCTAACCGCAGCGCCACCGCTCTCCGTTCGAGACAAGGTGCAGACGCACACACGTGGTGAGCCTGCACGAGCCTCCTGCTCCTGCACCAACAACAAGGGGAGCACGCCGATGGGGTGGACAGCGCACCGATGGGGTGGACAGCGCACCGATGAGGTGGACAGCGCGCCGATGAGGTGGACAGCGCGGCGGGGTGGACAGCGCGGCACGTGGCCACACAGCTGGGGTGGACTCACCGGGCACTGCCCCCGTGCTTGAGAGCCACGTGACCCAGGGGCTTGTCCACATCGTCGTGCAGGAGGACGACCTCCTGGGCGGGCACCGAGAACTTCTTGGCTGTGCACAAAGACAAAGACCCCCCCCCCCCACTCCGGTATAGCCTCAATAGACATTTGGGGCAAGTTGTTATCGTGAAGCAGCACCTTTGAAGGGCTGGCACGGCATGTGGCAGGGTGGGTGGCCAGCACCACGCCCGGCCGCCTTTGTCTCCCCAGTGGCGACGTTTACTACACACCGCACCAGGTACTCAATTGGGTACACCCCCACTTCACACCTCACCCCACACTACCCCACCCCACACATCCCCCCCCACTCCATACTACCCCACTCCACACTACCCCACACCCCCTCCACACCCCCACCCCCACACATCCCCCCCCACTCCACACTACCCCACACTACCCCACTCCACACCCCACCCCACACTACCCCCCCCACTCCACACCTCACCCACACTACCCCACTCCACACCCCCCACCCCCCCACCACCCCACTCCACACCTCACCCCACCCCCCACTCCACACCTCACCTCACACTAAACCCCACCCCCCACTCCACACCCCCCCCCACTCCGCACCGGCGAGGGCGGCGCTGAGCCCGTTGACGTTCATGGGGTGGCTGGAGGCGAGCAGCACGAGGCGGGGCCCCCCGGGCCACGCGGGGGGCCCCCCGGGGGGCCCCCCGGGGGGCCCCACCTCGGCCAGGGTCCCCGCCACCGCGCGGTCCCCTCGCCACGCGGACCCCGCGCCCAGCCGCTCCGCCAGGCGCCGCACGGCCACGGCCCCCACGCTGTGCCGGGTACCCGCCATGCCGGGGTTGCCCAGGCCCAGCACCTGCACGAGGGGGCGGTGGGGGGGGCGGAGAGAGGGGGGGGGGATAAAGGGGGGGTGTAGGGGGGGGTGTATGGGGGGATAAAGGGGGGGGGGATAACGGGGGGGGATAAAGGGGGGGGGGGATAAAGGGGGGGGGGGGGATAAAGGGGGGGGATAAAGGGGGGGGGGGTTAGGGGGGGGGGATTAAGGGGGGGGGGGGATTAAGGGGGGGGGGATTAAGGGGGGGGATTAAGGGGGAGGGTAAAGGGGGGGGGTAAAGGGGGGGGGTAAAGGGGGGGATAAACGGGGGGGATAAACGGGGGGGATAAACGGGGGGGATAAACGGGGGGGATAAACGGGGGGGGATAAGGAGGGGGGATATGAGGGGGGGATAAAGGGGGGGGGGGGTAAGGGGGGGTAAAGGGGAAGGTAAGGGGGGGGGAGTTAAAGGGGGGGTAAAGGGGGGATAAGGGGGGGGGGGCACGAGATGAAGGGGGGGGGCCGGGGTTGCCCACAGCCAGTCTCTACAGAAGGCGGACAGAGAGACATGCAGTACCCATGGAGCTGGGCACGAGGGGAGAGGGGGGCAGGGGGGTCAAGACGAGGGGGTCAAGAGGAAGGGGGACATTGGGGGGGGGCACAGGGGTGGGATATGGACTTAATGGGGGGGGGGGTAGCGCAGTTGTCCCCCAGGCCCAGTCGGCACGCACCAGCCAGCACGCCGCGCCACGCTGCGCACTCGAACTGAACTCGCGCCTCGCGAGCGAAGCGGGGAGGAGGCCGAGCGAGTAGGAGGCGAGTGGGGGGCCGAGTCGGGCGGGTGAGACGAAGGAGAGGGGGGGTGGCCCCCTCCCACTCAGCCTCAGCACGAGCCTCCTCATCCCGTGGGCGCAGGGCACGGCGAACCGAGCGTGACCCCTCACACGTGGTGGGGTGGTGGGGGGTGTCGGCTTCTTGGGTTCCCACCTCTGAGTGGCGCTCTCGCATTGCTAGATTGACGATCACACTCGAGCGCTCTCGCATTGCTAGATTGACGATCACACTCGAGCGCTCTCGCATTGCTAGATTGACGATCACACTCGAGAGCTCTCGCATTGCTAGATTGACGATCACACTCGAGCGCTCTCGCATTGCTAGATTGACGATCACACTTCAGCGCTCTCGCATTGCTAGATTGACGATCACACTCGAGAGCTCTCGCATTGCTAGATTGACGATCACACTCGAGCGCTCTCACATTGCTTGATTGACGATCACACTCGAGCGCTCTCACATTGCTAGATTGACGATCACACTCGAGCGCTCTCGCATTGCTTGATTGACGATCACACTCGAGCGCTCTCGCATTGCTAGATTGACGATCACACTCGAGCGCTCTCGCATTGCTAGATTGACGATCACACTCGAGCGCTCTCACATTGCTTGATTGACGATCACACTCGAGCGCTCTCACGTTGCTTGATTGACGATCACACTCGAGCGCTCTCGCATTGCTTGATTGACGATCACACTTCAGCGCTCTCGCATTGCTAGATTGACGATCACACTCGAGCGCTCTCGCATTGCTAGATTGACGATCACACTCGAGAGCTCTCGCGTTGCTAGATTGACGATCACACTCGAGCGCTCTCGCGTTGCTTGATTGACGATCACGATGGGAGCGCTCTCACATTGCTAGATTGACGATCACTCTCGAGCGCTCTCACATTGCTAGATTGACGATCACACTCGAGCGCTCTCACATTGCTAGATTGACGATCACACTCGAGAGCTCTCGCATTGCTAGATTGACGATCACACTCGAGCGCTCTCGCGTTGCTTGATTGACGATCACGATGGGAGCGCTCTCACATTGCTAGATTGACGATCACTCTCGAGCGCTCTCACATTGCTAGATTGACGATCACACTCGAGCGCTCTCACATTGCTAGATTGACGATCACACTCGAGCGCTCTCGCATTGCTTGATTGACGATCACACTCGAGCGCTCTCGCATTGCTTGATTGACGATCACACTCGAGCGCTCTCGCATTGCTAGATTGACGATTACGGCCTCGCTGACGCGGCGCCGCGGTGCACGCCGGAACCCGAGGACGTGGTCGCGCGTCATGGCGGAGGGGGGCAGCAGACAGGCGCGTCTCGCCGCGGCCAAGAAGAAGGTGACGACGACGACGAGGCCAGCGGCGCACGGGGCAGTCGTGGGCTGGGGGGTTCACGGGGCGTGCGAGGCGAGTGGTGGGGGGGTGGGGGGCACGAGGCGGCGCTGCTGGGGAGGAGGGGAATGGGTACCCCCCCGCCGCCGCCGTCGTAAGGCGCCGGCTTGCGGGGTTCAACCCGGACGTACGCGGCTCAGCGGTCGATTTGGTCGTCTGAAGCGTCTCATCGCTTGTCTCCGCGTCTCCTGGCGCGTCTCCACTTGTCTGTCTTCACATGTCACTCTCGACTGAGACCCCCGCCTGTCTTAAAAGCCTCCCTCTCTTCGCTTGTCCCCCATGTATCTTCCCTTGTCTGCCTTCACTTATCTGCAAAGGTCCCCATGCCCCCCACCCCCACGGCCTCCCTTCCTCCACCCGTCTTCACACGTCTCGCTCTGTCTTCACGCCTCTGGGCGCGTCTTCCCTTGTTCGCCCGTCTCATCACAGGGCCACTGATTCTCCCCCCCCCCTACCACCACCACCACCTCCAAGTCTATTTCCCCGCCTCGTCTTTTAGTTTTCGACTTTGTGTGCACCGTACGCCGGTCCCACTCTACCCCTCAACGCCCCCTACCCCGAGATCCCATCTTCGCGTCTCGCCGTCTTCACATGTCTCCATTTACATGTCTCTCTGTCTTCACCTGTCTTGAGCTGTCCCACCGCTCCTCTCTCCACTTACATTCATGGCCTCACCTTTATCTCCCCACCTGTGTTGAGATCTCTTCATCTGAACCTGTCAGCACGTCTCGCTATCCCCCACCTCCGCCCGTCATCAACTTGTCTCCGTATGTGTCCAGTCTCAACATGTCCCTCTGTCCCCACGTCCTCCACTTGTCCTCACCCGTCTCTGTATCCCCATGTGCCCCCCTCCCAGCTGAAGGAGTACCAACAGAAGGCAGTCCCCGGCGGCGGAGATGGCGGCAGCGCCAAGAAGAAGCGGCGAGGACGAGACGGCGAGGAGGGCGGCAATGACCCCCGGGATGAGCGGGACAGCCGAGAGCAGGTCACCCGCCAGGCGTCGCCCTCGCGTTCACCCTCAAGTTACCCGAGCGCTCACCTCGCGTTACCCGAGCGTTACCTTAGCGTTGCTCCTGTCAACCCACTCGTGGTGGTGCACGCCTGTCGCCCCAGCGCTGTGGAGGCAGCCGCAGCAGCGTTGGTTGGTGGATCACAGAGAAGTTGTGAATATCCCTTCCTACAGCAAGTGTGGACTAATCGCCATCCGTGTGGGGATAGGGTGTTTCCCCCTCGCACCCATTGGTTTTCTCCGGGTGCTCGGGTTTCCTCCCACATGTAAACACTCGTTAATTGGCCGATAACGCCTTCGTATATAGAGGACCCCAGAGCTTGGGCAATTGTTGGAGCCACCTCACCAGCTGGCTGCTTTCTTGTCTGTGGTTCCATGCACTTATTAAATTATTATCCGTTACCCTGGAATTATCCTGAAGATACCCTTGTGTTACCATAATATTACTGTCACGTTACCCTGACGTTGCCGTCCCCTGTCAGCCGTTAACCCAGACATTACCCAGTCATCCTGACGTTACCCACACGTTACCCTGACATTACGCGAGCGTTACCCTGGCGTAATTCCTGAATGTTACCCTCTCATTACCCGGTCATTACCAAATCGTTAATACCGTGGCATTATCCTCTTAATACCCCCGCCTAACATTGCTGCCCGCCATCATCGCCTGACCCCCGCTCTGCCAGCTGCTAACATCGCTCACCCCAGCTCGCCGTCGCCAGACACGTCGCCCCTCACCCTCGCCGTCGCACGTGACCCCGTGACCCCCATGTGTTCACCCCCCCCCTTCCCCGTGCCGGGTGCTGGGCGCAGTCGGAGGACGAGCGACTCTCTGCGAGCGCCGGAGAGGCCGACGAGGAGACGGCGGCGGGGGCGGTGGGGGGGTCGCCCCCCCCCACGCTCACGGAGGTGCATGAACCGCCCTTGCATGCGTCATGTGACCCGTGCATGCGTCATATAAACCCTTGTGTTTCGATCACGTGGTCTGTCGCACGCGTGACCCGTGCATGCATCACGCGGCCCCGCGCCTGTGCAGCATGACCTAAGCGTGCTCAGATGGCTTGTGCTCCTAACACGTGACCAGTGCTTGCATCATGTGATGTGTGGCTGCAGCACATGACTTGTCTGTGTAACGCGACCGACTCACACAGAGCGACCCACAGAGATAAAAGACAAAGGATCGCCTGTTTAGCCTTAACAGACTGCTAGGGCCAGTTCTGTCAGCGAGCACCTATTTAGGCGAGCATGGCACACGAGGGGGTGGGTATCTAGCACCAAGCTTGGCCACCTTTGTCTTCCCGGTACTCATGTTTGTCCACCACACCCAGCAATAACTTAAGTGTGAGTCGACCTAGGGGGAGGCCCAAGACTGGTTCAGATAACTGTCACTCATGTCGGCCGTGAACGGATCTCGGGTCACCTGATTCATAGCGTGGTGCACTAGCCACTGCACTACCACCGCTCCCCACACACACAGCGATTTGCACAGACAGCGAACCACACACATACACAGAAATCTGCACACAGCTCACCACACACACACAGTGAATCAGACACATACAGCGATCCCCATACACAGCGAAACACACACACACAGCGAACTACACACACACAGCAAACCACACACGCACACAGCAATCCACACACACAGCGAACCACACACGCACACAGATCCACACACACAAAGTGAAAACAAACACAGCAAACAACACACACAGCTAACCACACAGTGATCCGCATACACAGCGAACCACACACAAATACACCATGATCAGCACACAGCGAACCACACACGCACACAGCAATCCACACACACAGAGTACCCTTGTGTTCCGTCTGTCCTGGATGTGGCCCAGCGCCTTGGCTGGTGGCAGGGATTCTGAGTAACGGGGTTTGTGCTGCAGGTGGCGGAGGTGATGGATGGGGGGGAGGAGGAGCAGCAGGAGGGAATGCGGTAATAGCAGAGGCACAAGCGCACTCATTCACACTCTCTCATGTCGACACGGACAGACGTGCAGACACACAGACAATGACCCCCCCATAGCCTTCAACAGGCTTTTGGGACAGGTGCCGTTAGCGAGTTGCACCTCTATGAAGGCCGGCATGGCACACGGAGGGGGTGGTTGGACAGCACCACGCCTGGCCGCCTCTGTCTTCCCACTGGTGATGTTTACACTCTGCATCAGGTGCTCATTTAAGGCTGAGTCGACATAGGGAAGGCACAGGACCGATTCAGATAATCACAGATGTCACCGGTGTTGCCCGTGAGCGGGAATCGAATTTTTGTCACCAGATTTGTCGCGCAGTGCGCTTACCACTGCGCTACCACTACCCAAAGACAAGACAGAGATCCCCTGTTTACCCTGAACAGACTTTTGGAGCAAGTGCTGTTAGCGAGCACCTGTGAAGACTGGTACGGCACATGAGGCCACGCACACACTTAAGCAGACACACTAAGTGACAAAGAAAAATGTTTAGTACAACTCAATACTCCAGCAGACATACAGATGGAGGCACATGCAGCAATACACACAGATGCACGCAAGACAAAGAATCCAGCTAAAGCCTTGAACTGGTGATGGTGTGGAGTCATGGTGATGGTGGTGATGTAGTACCGCATGATGCTACATGGTGGTGGTGGTGATTGTGTGGTGGTGGTGGTGGTGTCATGACGATGTGGAAGGGTGTTGATGTTGTAGTACTGCGTGATACTGCTTGGTAATGGGGTGTGGTGGCGGTGGTGGCGGTGTGGTAGTGGTGATGTGATACTGATGGTGTGGTGTTGGTGTGGTGGGGGTGTGGTGACGCGGTGGCTGCGGTTCTCACTCTGCTGCCCGTGTCGTCACAGGGACGTCTCGTCCACGGAACGTTTGCGCCAGATCTCTGTGCAGATCAACGGCCTCATGTCCCAGGTGAGTGAGTGAGTGCGTGCGTGTGTGTGCAAGCGTGTGCGTGTGGAGTGGAAGTGTAGTGGTTAGCGCGCTGCGCTATGAACCCGGCGATTCCTGCTCACGGCCAACACCAGTGACGATTATTTGAACCGGTCCTAGGCTTCCCCTAGGTCGACTCAGCCTCAAATGAATACCTGGTGCGGTGTGTAAATATCGCTACTAGGGAGACAAAGGCGGTCGGGCGTGGTGCTGGCCACTCACCCCCTCATGTACCATTCCAGCCATCGTAGGTACTCGCTAACAGCACTTGTCTGCTAAGGCTATACGGAGGATCTTTGTGTGTGTGAGCACGTGTGTGTACTCACTAATGGCACTTGCCCCAAGAGTTTGTTAAGGCTACAGGGGGGAACTTAGTCTTTGTAGTAGTTGTGTATTGCATGTGTTTGTGTTCTAACGAAGTCTGTGTGAACTGTGTGCCAGTCAAACTACCGCAACGGGGAGAGCGGCAGCCACTCGGCAGACACCAGAGAACTGGAGGTGAGATGCACAAACAAAAACAAAAGATACCCGTGTAGCCTTAACAGACCGAAGGGGCAAGTGTTAGCAAGCAGCTATGAAGGCCGACACGGCACACGAGGGGGTGGGTAGCCAGCACCAGGCCTCGGCTGTCTTTGTTTCCCCGGTGCTGACGTTCACACACAGCGTCAGCTGCTCATTAATGACTTGAGCCGACCTCGGAGAGGCCACTGATGTTAGCCGTGAACTGGAATAGAAACTGGGTCACCGGGTTGACAGAGCAGTGCGCTAACTTGCCACAACAGGATGTGTGACCGCACAAGGGATCCATGGCGTGCTTGTGTGTAAAGGTGCGTGTCGGCTCAGCCTCAAATGAGTACCTGGTGCGATGTGCAAACAACGCCACTGGACAGACAAAGACGGTCGTGCGTGGTGCTGGCCACCCACCCCCCTCGTGTGCCGTGCCGGCCTTCATAGAGGTGCAACTCGCGGACAGCACTTGCCCCAACAGTCTGTTAAGGCTATACGGAGGATCTTTGTCTTGATACGCATGTGTGTACATGTGTTGTGGGCGTGGTGCTGGCCACCCACCCCCTCGTGTGCCATGCCGGCCTTCATAGAGGTGCAACTCGCGGACAGCACTTGCCCCAACAGTCTGTTAAGGCTACACGGCTGATCTTTGTCTTTGTGTGTGTGTGGACGCACAGACGAGGAACCAGGAGCTGACTCAGGCTCTGGACGCTGCGTCGCTCGATCACAAGAGACTCCTCGCAGACCTGCACGACGCCGTACTGCACCGCACTCGCCACACTCGCCACAGCCACTCGCCACAGCCACTCGCCACATTGACGAACCACACCACACTCATACTCACTTGGCACACTCAACACACTCGCTGACCACACTCGCTCACCACACCCACTCGTATATCACACTTGTCAGACTCACCATATTCACTCGCCACACTCACATGCCACACTCGGCACATTGACACACCACACTCACCACTCCCACCACCCTCACCACCCTCACCACTCACCCCTCCGGGACTGACCCCCTCTGCCCTCTCTGTGTGCCCCACAGAAGCAGCAGAACGATGCCCTGGAGACAGAGCTCCTGAAGGTGGTGGCACATCCTCACTCTGTTCCTGTAGTGTGTGTGGCGCGTGTGTGTGTGGTGCGTGTGTGTGGTGCGTGTGTGGTGTGTGTGTGGTGCGTGTATGTGTGGTGCGTGTGTGCATGTGTCTGTGTGGTGCGTGTGTCCGGTGTGTGTGGTGCGTGTGGGGTGTGTGTTGCGCGTGTGTGTGTGGTGTGTGTGTGTTGTGCATGTGTGTGTGGTGTGTGTGTGTTGCGCATGTGTGTGTGTGGTGTGTGTGTGTTACACATGTGTGGTGTGTGTTACACGTGTGCAATGTTTTGGACGTGTGTATACGGGGTGTAACGTCAGATGTCGCACGTTGCAAGCCGTGCGTAACGTCTGGTGTCACCTAACATGTTGACCTTGACGCGTCACGTGGAGTGCATTGCGTTTACCTCGCAATGCGTGTCGAATGTCGTCCTTAACGTGTGAAACACGTCTCACAAATTACATGTCGCGTGTCGTCGTATCTCTCAGGTCCGCGCTGATCAGGAGAAGCGGCTTCACAGTGAAGGGTCAGCTTTGGAACAACTGCAGGTCAGAGGTCAGGGGTCAGGGTCGTGGGTGGGTTTGGGTCAGGGTGCCGCGTGCTCTCCGTGCTGTTAGCCGGGTGACCTGTGACCTGTGATCCAGCGCTGTGGAGGCAGCAGAGAGGGTTAGTGGATCACGCACAGATGGGGTGAGGAGGTGCCATACCCTGGGCTCGCCAGGAGAGGGCAGCAAAGCAAGTGGACTAATCGCCATCCGTTTATTCCACCCGTACGGGGCTAAAGCGCTGCCACCTCGCGCAAGGCGTGGCTGTTCTCCGGGTGCCGCGGTTTCCTGCCACGTGGTATAATTAACACAGCTCATCGTTAATTGGCCGGAAACTTCTCGCAGACAGACGCCCAACGTAGCAGCAGCAGCAGCACCCTCCTGAACAAGGGTCACACGACTCGGTGTGGCTCTCCTGGCTAATGAAGTAATTTACACGTTTTTAATTTGCGCGTGTGCTGCGCGGGTGCCGCGCGTGTGACGTGGCGGGCCGTGGTCTGGGCCACCCCAGGTGCACGTTCAGACGATCGGGATCCTGGTGTCGGAGAAGTCGGAGCTGCAGAACACACTGAGCCTCGCGGATAAATCCCTGCAGCAGAGAGCCGGTCAGCACCACAACCACAGCAACCGCAATCTCGTGTCTCTCTATCCTATATCCCGTCTATGTCCTCGTGTACCTCGTGTCTCTGCGTACCCATGCCCCATGTCTCCGTGTCTCCGTGTGCAGGCGAGGTGGAGGATCTGAGCGCGCGCCTCAATGCCGGGCGCCAGCGCGTGTCGGAGCTGGAGCGCGCCCTCTCCACCGTCTCCTCCCAGCACAAGCAGGCCGAGAAGGTGACGCGCAGAGCACGCCACGTGACACACCGTGTCCCCGTGTCGCGCAGAGCACGCCACGCGACACGCCGTGTCCCCGTGATGCGCAGAGCACGCCACGTGACAAGCCATGTTCCCGTCTCCCCGTGTCCCCGAGTCATGTTGATGCCGTGTCTGTGCCCGCAGCTCGCCAAGGAGCTGCAGACGGAGAGAGCGGCCGTGGCGGAGGAGCGAGAGCAGCTGACGTGAGTGTGCGCGTGCGCTGGGGGTGCCATCACGATGCCTGTGGGAAAGTGAACCCCCGGTTGGCTGGGATCTCACCCCCCTCTCGATTTGTTCGGGTGTTAAAGTCAACAGCTGAGAATCTCATTCTCCTCTGTTCACTGTGCCGGTCACACCATGCCCCCCGTGCGCCGTGCCGGCCTTCGTAGGTGCCACCCGCTAATGGCACTCTGCCCCTGCACTCTGTTGGAGGCTCCACGGGGGATCTGCGCGTGCGTGCGTCTGCGAGTAGGCGCGTGCGGGACGAGCTGACTCAGCAGACGTCGGAGCAGGCGGAGCAGCTGGCGTCGCGCGCCGCCGAGGTGCTGGGGCTGCGCGAGTTCACGGAGGAGCTCAAGGGCAAGCTGCACATGGCCGACATCATGGTGCAGCAGGTGAGCGAACGGCGCCGCCACCACCACCACACCGCATGCATGTGCGGTCTCTATGCGCGTGCACGCGGCGTGCTCACCGCACACTAACCCGACACTCGCCGCACACTCGCCACACACATGCGGCAGGCGCGCATTATAGTAAAAATAATCAATCTTACCTTGAAACGGTGAGCCGTCGCCGCCGCGCATTATCTGCTCATCGCTGTCGTAGAGGGAGAGAGGGGACGACTCAGAGAGAGAGAGAGGGGACGACTCAGAGCTGCCGGGAGGAGGAACTACAGACGGGGAGCGGGAAGGCAGCAGCAACGGCACTACCAACAATTGCCCGATTTCTGCAGGTCCTCTGTATATCGAGGCGTTATCGGCCAATTGATGATGAGTGTTGACGTGCGGGAGGAAACCATGGCACCCGGAGAAACCCCACGCGGGCGAGGGGGAAACACTCGATTCCATGCCGAGGGAAACAGGCCGAGTCCTCACCTCTTCTGCTCTGCCGTCTTCCGGCGAGCCGACGTCACTTTGTCCAGATTACGGACCGCAGGCCTTGCCGTGACGTCACCGTGGAACGCCTGGGAGGGCAAAACCCGTGGTGGAAGAGCGATACGGAATCCACGCGTGCCGCCCGATTTTTCGTCTTCGTTTACAAATACGAGCGTGCCTGCGTGCCTGCGTGCGCATTCCCCCATACGTGTGCGCTTGCAGCTGTCGAGTCAGGCGGGGATGCCACATCTCAACCAGCAGCTGCAGCAGCTCTCGGAGGAAAGAGAACAGCTCCAGCAGCAGCTGCACGCGGTACGGACGCTGCTGCTGCGGTGGCTGTGTCCGCGTGCGTCCGTGTGTGTCCCGTGCGTGTTTGAGTGCCTATGTGTTTGTTTGTGGATGTGCGTGCGTGTGCGTGCGTGTGCGTCTGTGTGTGTGTGTCCGTGTGCGTCTGTGTGTTTCCGTGTGTGTGTGTGTATCATTACGGGTGGGTAGCAGTATTGTAGCGGTTAACGCACTGCGTTACAAACCCGGCGACCCGAGTTCGATTCCCGCTCGCCAACACCGGTGACGATTATTTGAACGGGTCCTGGACCTACCCAAGGACGACTCGGCCTCAAATGAGTACCTGGTGCGGTGTGTAACCATCAACAGTGGGGAGACAAAGGCAGCCTTGCGTGGTGCTGGCCTCCCACCCCGTTGTACGCCGCGCCGGCCTTCATCGGCGCTCGCTAACGGCACTTGCGCAAAGTCTGTTCAGGGCTACGTGGGGGGTTGTGTTTGTGTGACTGTGTTGCGGGCGCTGTGCGTTTTCCCGGTGCAGATGTCGGAGTCGGTGCAGCAGCTGATGCTGGAGCGGCAGCAGCACCTGCAGCAGATGGAGGAGCAGGGGCGCCTCTGGCAGGAGACGGCTCGCCACTCGGCACAGCAGGTGCACGCGCGTGTGCTGTGTCGGACGCAGTGTGCTGTGTGTGTGTGTGTGTTCCGTGCGTGCTGTGTCTGATATGGTGTGCCATGGTGTGCTGTGTGTGAGCTGTGTCTGATATGGTGTGTTCTGTGTGTGTGTTTTCTATCACTGTGTGCTGCGTGTGCTGCGTGTGCTGTATCGAGGGTGGTGTGCTGTATGTGCTGTGTCGCGCATGGTATGCTGTGTGTGTGCTGTGCTCTCTAACATGGTGTGCTGTGTGTGCCATGGTGTTCTGTGTGTGTGCTGTGTGTGTGCTGTGTGTGCCATGGTGTGCTGTGTGTGTGCTGTGTGTGTGCTGTGTGTGCCATGGTTTGCTGTGTGGGTGCTGTGTGTGCTGTGTGTGCCATGATTTGCTGTGTGTGTGCTGTGTGTGTGCTGTGTGTGCCATGGTTTGCTGTGTGTGTGTGCTGTGTGTGTGCTGTGTGTGCCATGGTGTGCTGTGTCTGACACGGTGTGCTGTGTGTGTGTGCTGTGTGTGTCATGGTGTGCTGTGTCTGACACGGTGTGCTGTGTGTGCCATGGTTTGCTGTGTGTGTGCTGCTGCTAGGTGGAGCTGCTGTCTCGTGAGAAGGATGAGCAGGTGGTGCGCATCACAGAGATGGAGCGGTCGCTGCACGAGCTGGAGCAGCAGAAGGGTGAGCTGAGCGCTTGCGGCACACACCCAGTACACACATTATAACGCAGTGCGCACGGCACGTACGGTATGACACGCGCTGTGTTACCTACATACAGCAGGTAACAGCGCACGCACATACACAGCACGTTAACGCAGCGAAGACAAAGGTCCCCTGTTGCGGCAAGTGCTGTTAGCGAGCACCTATGAAGGCCGGCACGGCACACGAGGGGATGGGTGGCCAGCACCACGCCCGACCGCCTTTGTCTCCCCAGTGGCGATGTTTACACACCGCACCAGGTTCCCATTTTAGGCTGAGTCGACCTCGGGGAGGCCCAGGACCGGTTCAGATACCGAGCCCGGGTGGCCAGGTTCGTAGCACAGCTCACTAACCGCGACACTACCGCTCCTCAAGTTAACACAGCACACACAGACACACAGACACACACACACGTGTCACACAGCAGCCGCTGAGTGACCGCCGGTTCCCGCCCCACCCCCCCCACCAGTGGTTCTGTGCGAGCAGGCGGCGCAAAAGTCGAGCGCCGCCGTCGCCACGTCGGAGCAGGAGGGGCCCTCGGAGCGCGAGCACGGCCTGGCGGTGGAGCTGGAGAGGGCGCGCAGGGAGAAGGACGAGCTTGTAGCCCAGTACCACGCACAGGCACGCGCACGCACGCACGCATCCGCACGCACAGGCACGCACAGGCACGCACAGGCATGCATACACAGGCACGCGCATGCACGCATCCACAAGCACGCACGCACAGGCACGCACGCACAGGCACGCACAGGCACGCACGCACAGGCACGCACAGGCACGTGCATAAACACATACACACAGGCACGCATGTGCACGTGCACACGCAGGCACAGACGTAAACACGCGCACACAGGCATGCACGTATACGCGCACACACAGACACGTGCACAACAAAGCACGCATACGCACAGGCACGTGCGCACACACTTAACTCCTTACCCACTGTCTACTCAGCTGCGCACGTGTGAAAAGCTGAGTGAGTTGAAACAGGAGGTGGTCATTTCTCCTGAGCACACACACACACGCTGGTACAGAAACAAAGATCCCCCACATAGCATTAAACTGTTAGGGCAAGTGCTGTTACGGAGTAGCACCGATGTAGGCCGGCACGACACACGAGGGAGTGGGTTGACAGCACCACGCCCGGTCGCCTTCGTATCCCCAGTGCTGCTGTTTACACACCGCTCCAGGAAGTCGTTTAAGGCTAAATCGACCTCGGGGAGTCCTGGGACCGGTTCCGATATCCTCCCCTTCACCGCTTCTGGCCGTAAGCGGGAAGAGTGAAACTTGGGCCGGCGGGTTCGTACCGCGTCGCGCTAACCGCTGCGCCTCCGCTCCCCTCGCTCCCTTTACCCCGCCGTCCGCCCAGGTGCGCGACAACGAGCATCTGAGCGAGCTCAACCGCGAGGCGGAGTCACGGCTGCTGGCGCTCGAGTCGCGGCTGGGGGACCTGGGCTGCGAGGCGAGTGACCGGCAGCGGCTGCTGGAGACGGCGCAGGCCGACAAGGCCACCATCTCCCGCGCGCTCGCGCAGAACCGCCAGCTCAAGGAGCAGCTCGCTGAGATGCAGAACGGCTTCGTCAAGCTGGTGAGCGCCGTGTCTCTCCGCGTCTCGCTGTTCGCGCGTACCCGTGTCCCCCCGTGCTCGTCGTCCCACTACCCGTGTTTTCACTTCCCCCTTTGTCTCCCCCTGCGTGCCCAATGTCTCCGTGTCTACCCGTGCCTTGTGTCATCCCTTTATCACCTACCTTCCCCTCGTATCCCACATGTACCCTTACGTCCCATTTCCCCACGTGTCTGTGTCTCAATCTTTCCCGTGTATTCCGTGCAGAGGTCGCAATCGGGTTCCCGATACCCGTACCCGGCCGGGTACGGGTACGGGTACCCGTTTGCGACCCTGGTGTGGCCGGGTACGGGTAGGCCGTGAGTCACTGATGAGTCACTGTTTGTCACTCATTTCCCAACGTCTTGTCTCTTCTCACAATTCAAGTTCCTAGAATCAACCCACCCGCGTCTGCAACATGGCTTCATCCCAGAGGTCGCAATCGGGTACCCGATACCCGGCCGGGTACGGGTAGCCGGGTATCGGGTAGGGTACGGGTACCCGTTTGCGACCCTGGTGCGGCCAGGTATGGGTAAGGAATCAAAATCCGTTTGCGACCTCTGATTCCGTGTCTCCGATGTCGCCCATGGCCCAACTGTGTCCCCTTGTCCCTGCGTGTCCCCATATCCGTCTGTGTCCTCCCGTGTCCCCATGCTGCTGTCCCCTGATGGCTGTGCTGTCCCCCGTGTCCCACCGTGCCGCCCCCGCCGCTGCATGTCCCACAGAGCAACGAGAACATGGAGCTGGGCAGCGCGCTGCAGTCGGAGCAGCACGTGAAGAAGGAGCTCGCTCGCCACATGGGCTCCCTGCAGGAGAACTCGCACGAAGTCAAGGAGCAGGTGGAGCTCCCGCCACCGCTGCCACCGTGCCACCGCTCATGCCACGCAACAAATCGTTTCTGATAATTGGTTTTTTACCATTTTTATCTGGCAACAAAACTGACACCTTTGTTGCCAGATAAAAGGGTAAAAAAACAATTATCATAATTTGATACTGGCAAAGGACGTTCCAAAGGTGTAAACAATAGTTTCTATTTGTACGAAGCGTCGTCATTGGTGCAAAGAATCGCAGATCGAAGCGCCCGCTGTAGGATTTGTGACGCCGTGCCCAGATTTTCGCTCGGAAAACCGCAGGTAAGCCGGAGAAGGAAGGGCACCCAGAACCAGCACCGCCAACAACGATTGCCCAAGCTCTCTGATCCTATAATTGGGGCATGTGGCCAACTCCAACCCGAAAACACAACGGGGAGCCACACGTCGCAACTTGCACATCTCCACACGCCGTCCAAAAATAGTGTGACGTTCGTGGCCTGTAAACGGTGACAAACGGTAAACACACACACACACCAATACACCCCGCCACTCACCACTAAGTGACGGTTACATCAGCGGAGTGCCTTCCACACTTCACACGGCTATCAAAGCGCACCTAGCCGGGTACACGCGCCGTGGCCGAACGGCGGCTCGCCATCGATGTCGGCGTCGGCGTCGGCGTGATCGCGTGACCGTTGCCTTCGTCGCAGCTGCAAGCCAAGTGCGCGGAGGCGGAGGCTCTGGTGGCGGAACGGAGCGCGGTGCTGCAGCAGCTGCAGCAGTACGGGGCGGCCGTGGTGCAGCTGCAGGCGGAGCGCGACGAGCTGCACCGGCAGTGCCTGGCCCAGAGCACGCTGCTCGACCGCGTGCAGCACCAGGTGCGGGGCCCGCACACGCACGTGCAGACAGTAACTTCAGATACTCGTTTAAGGCTGAGTCGATCTGGGGGAGGCCCAGGACCAGTTGTTCATATATTCGTCACTGGTGTTGGTGGCCGTGACGACTGCTCCCATACAAAATACAAAGATTTCCCGCCCCCCCCCCCCCCGCATAGCCTCTAACAGACTGTTGAGTCAAGTGCTCTTTGCAAGCAGCACCTATGAAAGCCGACGCTGCTCACACGAACTCGACACGTTAAAAAGATTTAGTAGTCTGTTGAGGAAGGTGCTGTTAGCAAGTACCTATGAAGCCGGCACACGGCACACGAGGTGGGTGACCAGCACCACGCCGCCCGACTGCCTTTATCATGTAAGGCTGAGTCGAACTTGGCTCGCCAGGTTCGTAGCGCAGCGCGCTAACAACTGCACCACCGCTCTCCATGCTCAGCAACCACACACACACATGCACACGCGTACACACAAGACGCAGCTCCACCAATTGCTGTGTGCGAGCTCCTAATACGCGTGGTACCCTCCCACTACAACCTATAACAAATATTACCATTAATTCTGGTTATCATTTATGTGTGCCCGTGACCCCGTGACCCCGTGTCGAGCAGGAGGCCGAGGCTCGTTCCGCTCTGCACATCGCGCACGACAAGCTGCGCGCTCTGGCCCAGGGGTCGCAGGTCACCGTCGACGGGTCGCAGGTCACCGCCGCGGAGGGGGTGCTGCAGGGCGGGGAGAGGAGGGTGGGAGTGGGGGGCCCCGAGGAGGGCTGGGCCGTGGGGGGGGGCCTGCAGGGGGTGCTGGAGGACATGGCGTCGCTGCTGGAGGCGCCGACGGACGCGCCCGCTCCGTCTCCCACAGACTCGCCCGCAGACGAGGCTGGGGCCGAGGAGCCAGAGGAGACGGTGAGGGGCTGTGGGGTGTGTGGGGGTAGGGAGCAGTGTGATCAGGGTGTGTGTGTGTGTGTGTGGGTAGCAGTGTGATCAGGATGTGTGTGTGTGGGTAGGGAGCAGTGTGATCAGGGTGTGGGTGTAGCGGTTAGCGCGCCGCGCTACGAACTTGGCCACCCGGGTTCTATTCCCGCTCACAGCCAACACCAGTGACGATTATCTGAACCGGTCCTGGGCCTCCCCTAGGTCGATTCAGACTCGAATGAGTACCTGGTGCAATGTCTAAACATCGCCACTAGGAAGACAAAGGCGGCCGGGCGAGGTGTTGGCCACCCACCCCCTCGTGTGCCGTACCGGCCTTCATAGGTGCACGCTAACAGGACTTACCCCAACAGTCTGTTAAGGCTATCTGGGGGATCTTTGTCTATTTGTTCACCACGTGTAACCTATGCATGCCGTGTGCGGCGCTGCGCGTGCCCGCCCAGGTCTCGCACCTGCGGGCTCTGGTTGAGCAGCGCGAGAGCGAGCGAGCGCAACTCATCTCGCGACTCGGGGACGTCTACGCCGCCCTGCGTCGTCTCGGCAACCTCGCCGCCCCCCCCTCGGCCGCCCCCCACCACGGGGAGGGGGCCGTGTCCCCCCAGGAGCACGAGTCTCTGCGTGCAGCCATGGAGCAGCTACAGGTGAGTGGCGGCTGCGGTGATGGAGGGAGCGGTGGTGAGTGGTGCGTGGTGACAGGGTTGTTTCCCGTGGGCCGTGCTGGTGACTCCCACCAGCACCAGTAAACGAGACCTCGTCACCCCAACGCCGCGATCGCTCCATCGGCTCCCGATCTGCGGTGAGCGTGACGCGGTGAGCGTGACGCGGTGAGCGAGACGCGGTGAGCTAGACGCGGCGAGCGTGACGCGGTGAGCGTGACCCGCACCCCCTCTGTGCTGTGGCGGCGCAGGTTCGCTTCCAGGCCGTGATGCGGGAGAAGGCCGACCTCCGCGATCAGCTGGAGCAGCTGGAGCACCGCTGCGAGCAGCTGTCGGGAGAGACCGACACCATCGGTGCGCACGCGTGTGTAGGTCGACTCAGCCTTAAATGAGTACCCGGTGCGATGTATGAACATCAGCGCTCGGCGCTGTGGAGACAAAGGCAGCGGGGTGTGGTGCTCGCTAACAGCACTTGCCGCAACAGCCTGGACAGGCTGTATGTGGGATCTCTGTGTGTGCGTGTGTGTGTTTGCGCGTCTGTACGTGCGTGTGCGCGCGTACCTGTACCCATGCGGTACCCACGTGTGCGTGCGTCACACCCCGTGCGTGCGTCACACACCGTGCGTGCGTCACACACCGTGCGTCATACCCCGTGCGTGCGTCACACACCGTGCGTGCGTCACACCCCGTGCGTGCGTCACACCCCGTGCGTGCGTCACACCCCGTGCGTGCGTCACACACCGTGCGTGCGTCACACCCCGTGCGTGCGTCACACCCCGTGCGTGCGTCACACACCGTGCGTGCGTCACACACCGTGCGTGCGTCACACCCCGTGCGTGCGTCACACACCGTGCGTCATACCCCGTGCGTGCGTCACACCCCGTGCGTGCGTCACACCCCGTGCGTGCGTCACACACCGTGCGTCACACACCGTGCGTGCGTCACACACCGTGCGTGCGTCACACCCCGTGCGTGCGTCACACACCGTGTGTGCGTCACACACCGTGCGTCACACACCGTGCGTCACACCCCGTACGTGCGTCACACCCCGTGCGTGCGTCACACCCCGTGCGTGCGTCACACCCCGTGTGTGTGCATGCACGTGTGCAGGCGAGTACATCGCGCTGTACCAGAGCCAGCGCGACGTCATGCGCCAGCGCCACCGCGACAAGGACGAGTTCATCAACCGCCTGGCGCTCGACCGTGACAACATGAAGGTGACGCCGACCTACGACCCCTACGACCCCCACGCTCCGCCCAACCCACCGTCCCATCGCCCCTCTGACCCAGGGGCCGCGCCATTGCAGTGACAATTTCGTAGAGGCGATGGGACGTGCGGGTCAACGGCTCTCAGTCGTTGCTTATCCCCCCTCCTGAAACAATCTGATTAAGGGGAGATTCACTCTGCACCTCACAAAGCTCATGCTTGCAAACTGCGAGTCATGCCATTAAAATATTAATGAGATTCGTCCATGCGTGTTTATCATGTGAACCTAATGTATATAAATCTATGAAATTCACTCCACATTTGCCAGAGGTCCTGATTGGATCTCAAAACCTAACATCCAACCGTAATATATTCGCGTGTTTGCTCCGTACCACATCCTCGTTATCATATTCAAAATCATCTTCTTCATCATCATCACCACCCCTGTCACCCAACCCTTGCCCACACGCCCTGACCCTTGCCCTGTGACCCCGGCAGGTGAAGCTGGGGGAGCTGCAGGAGCTGGTGATGAGACTCCTGGCCGAGAGGAACGCGTGGGGGCTGGAGGGGCCAGCGCCACGGGGGGTAGCGGCGGTGACGGCAGCAGCAGCGGGAGGACCCAACGAGGAGAAGCAGGAGGAGGGAATGGGCCCTCACCTGCCCAACGGCACCCAGGGTGACACGGCCACACGCCACGGTTGACCCGCGCAGCTACAGCCACGCATCCTTACAGCCGGTCACCGCAGGCACGGCCGCCCAGATACGGAGAAGCCGCCGCAGCCTCCGGTCACTTCCGTCACTCATGGTGACACCCCCCCCCCTCTCTACCCGCAGACGGAGATGAAGGAGGTGAAGGAGGTGAAGGAGGTGAAAGCGAGGGGGCGAGTGCGAGGGAGAGAGCGGCAGAGACTGGCACGGAGAGAGCACACACAGGTGATGCACACGGCACACACTGGACACACACAACATAATGTTGCACTGCACTGTTGTACCATACACAACACACCATGCATACTGTGTAGTACACTGGGGTACGAAACCTATAACATGATACGCGCTATATGCCACTTTGCATAAAATACGTCACATGATACACACCATGCACAACACATTACCCTACACACGACACACAACACACCATATTATACACCACACATACTCACTGCACATGCGACTGAAACTAGCTCCAGTGAGGTGCGTTGACTCGAACCTCCCTCCCTGTACCCCGCCCCCCGCTTCTCATCCTCCCGCAGACGACGACCCTCGGCCCCCCACGACCGCCGAGCCCCCCGGCACGGCCGGGCAGATCATGCAACTGCTGCAGGAGCTGCAGGAGTCGCGCGGGCCCTCCTCCTCCTCCTACCTCGACGAGTCCACGTGCATCCCCTTCTTCTACCGCGTGGACACCGACAACGAGGTCAAGGTCATGCTCATATGAGGTCGCGCGTGCGAGGTCGCGACCTTGCCCACCAACGTGCCCGCGGCTGCCTAGTCCACGGCACGGGCGGGCAGCTGGACGGGCGGGAAAGCAGCCCCGGCAGCGGCATGGAGGGCACGGCGAGCCGGAGGGGGTCGCCAGGTCGCCCGGCATGCGGCTTCACGGACGTTCACACCTACGCGGATCGTTTAGATGTGAACCCGGCTCTTGAGGTCACGGCTCGTGGGCGAGATCGCGTCAAGAGGTCAAGGTCACGCGTGCGCGATGATCGCGTGACGTCCGGAGGGCGGAACGGTTGGGGGGGGGGGGGCGGCGGGTGGGTGGGTGTGGGAGGTTGGAGGGGCTACAGACAAGAGCGATTGATGGGGGTGCGCAGACAGCAGGGTGGTGGTTGTTTTAGGGGGCCGTGTGGATGCATCCTCGGAATGTGCACATCTACAGGCGCATGGTGAAAACGTGTGCGTATGGCAGGATGTGTGTGGGAGGGTCTGCGTAGAGGGTGTGTATCAGGTGAGGCGGTGTAGTGCAACGGTTAGCGCGCTGCGCTATGAACCCGGCAACCCGAGTTTGATTGTCGCTCGCTCGCAGCCATCATGGGCGACGATTATTTTAACCGGTCCTGGGCTTCCCCTAGGTCTACTCAGTACCTGGTGCGGTGTCTAGTTAACATCGGCACTGGGGAGACAAAGGCTGCCGGGCGTGGTGCTGGCCACCCACCCACACGTGTGCCATGCTGGCCTTCATAAGTGCTACTCCCTTCTAACAGCACTTGCCCCGACAGTCTGTTAAGGCTATACAGGGGGGGGGAGGTCTTTGGCTTTTGTACGGGTAGAGGCTGCGCGGGTGTGGAGGCGTTTGCACCAGGGCCCACTCCCGGTGAGTGGAGTGGTGAATGGAGATTGGTTTAGCAGTGGGTTCTTGCAAGTGGAGATTGGTTAGTTCTGTGAACTACAAACGAGTTCTCTTTAAACTCCGAGAGTAGGTGGTTGGGGAGACTGAGTAGCGGAGAGGGTTGAGAAGTTGGGGGGCTGGGAGACTGCGGGGGGCGGGGAGACTGGGGGGGGCTGGAGCACTGGGAGTATTGGGGAGGGGGTGGCTAGGAATACAAAAACATGGGGAGCACTGGATGTACTCGGGGACTGTGAGTCCAGTCTCCCCCATGGCTGCACTTGGCAAGATGCTCTCACTTTATATGTTTGGGGCGCGGGGTCACGGGGTCATGGGGAAGAGATGTTAAAGGCGAGCGGCGTGCACAGCAGAGGTCCACAATGTCACGGGCCGTGCTGGGGTGCCTGTGTGCGCGTGCGTCGGTGTGTGTCCATTCCTCTTTGTGACCGTCTGTATGTCTCTGCGTCCTATCTGCGCGTGTTGCCTTCATCTGTCTGTGTGTCTTACTATGTCGGTGTCCTTCTGCTGGGTGTCTTCGTAGCTACGTGTCTGTGTTGTCTGTCTGTGTACATGTGTGTCTTCATGTCTGTCTGTGTACGTGTGTCTTCATGTCTGTCTGTGTACGTGTGTGTCTTCATGTCTGTGCAGGTTTCCGTCCGTCTCTTTTTGGAAACCGGCTTTTCCAAGTATCTCTGCGTACCGCCATCTGTGTATGGTCCCATGTGTGTTTGTGTCTGCCTGCGTGGCTGTTGTGGGAAGCGGTGGTGCAGTGGTTAGCGCGCTGCGCTACAAACCCAATTGTATAGTAAACATCGGCACTGGGGAGACGAAGGGGGCCGGGCGTGGTGCTTGCCACCAACACCTGCCCCAACAGTCTGTTGAGGCTATACGGGGGATCATTACTTTGTTGGTGTGTCTGTGTGCCTCATGTAATCCTGCTGTAAACAGAGCTGTATCGAGTCTCCCATTTCCACGTCGATTTTCCACGACAGCAAAGGCCTCGGCGAGGCCTCGCTTGCTCAGCGTGCGTCTCGGCGTTCGTCGCGTACGCACGGGCACCGCGAGAATATACTACAAGTGTCTCCTCGTTGCGTACCATACACGCACGCATACCGCAAGTGTGCCATGCGTACCAACGGCGGACTGTGTACCATGTGTATAGCTTACAAAATGGGTGTGGGTGTTCCAATCTGATTAAGTGGGTGGTGACCACATGGACAGTGGTGGGGGCTTGTATTAATTGTGGGGGGAGGGGGGAGTAGGAGTTGTACCCCCCCCACCCCCAGGGCTGGTGTATAATCGGTTAAGGCTGTCACATGCCCCCCGACCCCTAGCCGCCCCCCCCCCCACCCCACAAAGGGGTGCTGGGGGGGATTGAGTTTTGCACATAATTGTATCTGGTGGGGGATATTTATTTGAGATTGCTTTGGGAATCTTGGCGCTTTTTGATAAGAACCTGTATCTACTACTATTAAGCCCGGTGTCGGCGGCTAGATTCCTGTTTCATAGATTCCTCGCGCGTGTCCTCCAATAAATCAACCGATTGCACATTCCCCTCCCCACCCGCAGTTCACTATCCCTCACCGTGCTGCCCCACTGCACGCGAAAGACACGGGGGGTTATTCAACGTAGCTTTATTCGCGCCGAGACAAACCGCGGACGTCGCCACGCGCCCTTACAGACGTCGTCGCCAGTGCAGTCCGAAAGGAACCGAGAGTGCAGATTTCTTCAGCCCCCTGCTACATGCTGCCCTTGCCCTGTGTATGCCGCCCCTTTGTATGCTACCACTTCCCTGCGCACGCTGCCCCTGCCCTGTGCCACTCAACCACGTCGCCCCACCCGTGCCACGTAGCCCCGCGCTACGAGGCGGTGGCGGGCTGGAGGCGTCCGCAGTAGGCGTCCCAGCCGGCCTGCTGGTAGAGCCGGGCGGCGGCGGTCACGTCGGTGGCCTCCAGCACGCCGCGGCCCACCACCATCACGTCGCAGCCACGGCGGCCCACCACCTCCTCCGGGGTCAAGTACTGCTGACCCAGGTCGTCGCCTGGCACGCACGAGACATGCATTCAGAAGGGTACAGAAGTGCACACAGGCACAAGTGCGGGTGCGAGTGGTGGGTGCAGTGGGCGGGTGTGTAAAGTGGAGAGTGTGGGTGCTACTATGAGAGGTGAGAGAGTGTATAGAGTGGTGATAATTATGATAAGTGAATGGTGATTCTCTGAGCTACGCGAGCAAGCGGTGCGAGTGGTGATGCCGTGGTGAGCGATTGGCGAGTGAGTGGTGATGCTGTGAGAGATGTGAGTGGTGAGAGGTGAGTGGTGAGAGGTGAGTGTGGTGAGTGAGTGGTGAGCACCTCCCGGCTGTAGCTTGACCCCGGGGGTGACGTGCAGCAGGGAGGGGTCCTGGGTGACGCGCTCCGTGCTGATGAATCCCAGCACAAAGTCGCGACGCGCCTCGGCCATTGCCACCTGTGTGGCATCGCACGCCCCACCATCAACACTGAGCAAGGGTGAATGGAGCAGTGTGGTGAGTGCGGTGCGGTAAGTGGTGTGCGTAGAGCGAGCCAAGCCGTACCGTTGCCTGCGTGTACCCCTGTGTGGTGAGCGCCCCCTGTGAGCTCATCTTGGCGATGAGGAGGCAGCCCCTCCCTAGGGGCACTCCCACCCCAGCCAGGGCCTCCAGCCCCCCGGGGCCTGACACGGCATGAGCCGTCACCAGATCCGCCCAGCTCGCGATGCCAAAGACCCCTCCTGCAGTGCACGCCCACACACCACACTCGCTAAACTCGCCACACAATAAACGCCGCACATCGCACACTGCAGTACACCCCCCCCCCCCCACACGTACCCTGGTACTGCCGCCGGGCGGTGTGGCCGATGTCGGCGAATTTGCGGTCCTCGAACAGCAGGAAGCGATGGCTCCGCGCCAGCTCGGCCAGGCGCTCCGGCAGGTCGGCCGTGAAGTCGTCAAGCGCGTCCACGTGCGTCTTGAGGAGGCACACGTGGGGGCCCACGGCGCGCGCCACCGCCAGCAGCTCGGCGGCCGTGCGCACGTCGGCCGACACGCACAGATTGCTGCGCTTCTCCTCCATGAGGAGCAGGAGCCGCGAGGCGACGGCCGACGTCGACGGGAGACGCGCGCGCTGCCCGTAGCTCTGTGCCACCGCGCCCGGCCCAGGTTCGAGCGAGGGCGACGAGGCAGGAGGTGGTGACGTAGCGCGGTTTTGGGAAATGAAGGCGGACACGGAGTCGACCGTGGCCTGGTCGACGCGGGCCGCGGTCCAGCAGCACCTGCGGTGGGGGTGGGAGTGAGCGGAACGGCCGCCAAGATTGTCCACCGGGTCGTTGGGTGGACACTGCAACCACCCCCGCCACGGTGATGACCAACACTGGTGTGCAACAGTGCAGGGATTCGTGGTCTTGCATGGTTTTCACAACGGCTGTTCCGGTTGTTTTAGCGACACTGACACTGCAGAACGGGATATCACGGAACTGCTTCCAAGATCCTTTCCAAGTGACGCTTTGCTGTTTTATCCGCATACACGAGTTTGGGCCGCAATCTTCACACGCCCCGCTATGGAGAGTTGACATCCCTTGCGTGGCAGTTGCACCGATATAGCTGAAATTCTCACGAGCTGTAATTCGGCCCAGTTAAGTGCCAAACCAGATATAATGGTTTGTGGGCTGGTGAACCCATTCGTGCGAACCTTTGAGCGCAACTCCCCTCGTAAAGAGCACGCTGGGCGAGCATCGCCCCACGCCGTGACAGCCAAACCCCCTCAATATGTATGCAGCGGAACCCCTCTGTGAGGTGTTCCCAGGTTAATAAAGGAAATGAATGATCGTCGTTGTTGTTCCCAACTCTGTACTCGAGTCGCCTTCACCTGCATGAGCCGAGACACGGTGCACACCGAGTGAAGGGTGATGCCAGCGCCGGCCAGGGTCTCGCGGCCACCCTGCTCACGGTCCAGCAGCACCAGCGCATCACGCACCTGCAGCATCAACATCACAACAGCGTCAACATCACAACAGCGTCAACATCGCACCGCGTCAACATCGCACCGCGTCAACATCGCACCGCGTCAACATCGCACCGCGTCAACATCGCACCGCGTCAACATCACAACAGCGTCAACATCACAACAGCGTCAACATCACACAGCATCCCGTCCGGCTCTGTCCACAATCAAGAGTATGATAGCATCGTGCCACTGCACCACCGTCAAATGATCACCATCACGCACACTGTCATCATCACGGGGCATCTCGCACCTGCAGGCCGTGCTGACGCAGCACGTCCGCCGTCTCGAGCACGCTGGATCCGCTGGTGACGACGTCCTCCACCACCACGCACACATCTCCAGCCGCGAACGCGCCCTCCAGCATGCGCGCCGTGCCTACACACCGCGTCACGCCACCACCCGTGTTGAGCCACCACCCGTGTTGAGCGACACCGCATCAGGCCATCCCGCGTCATGCCAACCCCGTGTCGCGTCACACCACGCAGCGTCACCTCTCGTGTTACGTCACACCTCGTGTCGCGTCACACCACGCAGCGTCACCCCTCGTGTCGCGTCACACCACGCAGCGTCACCCCTCGTGTCGCGTTACCACCCGCGTCACGTCACCCCGTGTCGCGCCACACCACGCAGCGTCACCCCGTGTCGTTCCACACCACGCAGCGTCACCCCTCGTGTCGCGTCACACCACGAAGCGTCACCCCTCGTGTCATGTCACACCACGCAGCGTTGGGCCACACCGTACTGCTTGGCTTCCTTGCGCCTCATGAGCATGGGCCTCTCGTGCGCCGTGGCCATGAGCGTGGCGATGGGCAGCGCCGTGTAGGGTACGCCGCACAGCAGCGCTGAGGGGCACACGGAGCGGCCCACATCCCATAGGCGCTCCGCCACCTGCGGTGGAGGGGAGGGAGACAAGGGGATGGGTGAGTTGCAATACACGTGATGGAATCATCGAGCTCATCAATAACAGCGTAACATCACAGCTGTTCCTCGGCATCAACATCAGCCATATCAAGACATTCATCGATTCACAATGAGACCCACAGACCTATATAGATTCATACAGACCCACTCGCATAGAGACCTCTACTCAGAGATCTATAGATTCACATGAAGACCCACTCACAGAGACCCACAGACTCACACAGATCTATATAGATTCATACAGACCCACTCGCATAGAGACCTACACTCAAGAGATCTATAGATTCACACGAAGACCCGCTCACAGAGACCCACAGACTCGCACAGACCTATATAGATTCATACAGACCCACTCGCTTAGAGACCTACACTCAAGAGATCTATAGATTGACACGAAGACCCACTCACAGAGACCCACAGACTCGCACAGATCTATCGATTCACACCGAGACCCACTCACTTAGTGCTCCCGCAGAGATCTACTGATTAATACCGAGACCAATAGACTCGCAGAGATATATAAATTCACACCGAGACAGACAGACACTGTAACAAACTCCCACTGCACATGAAACATCTTCACGCTCCTGATTCCGTTTCTCCCTAGCCCAGCATCATCATCCTGATACTGCTACTCCCTGCCCCCAGCTACGACCAGGCCTCATGCAACCCCTACCACACTTCCCTACCCCTACCCTACCACTACCCCTTTCCTACCCCTACCACTACCTACCCTTATCACTACCCCTATCCCTTTCCTACCCCTACCCTACCACTACCCCTTTCCTATCACTACCACTACCTACCCTTATCACTACCCCTATCCCTTTCCTACCACTACCCTATCACTACCCCTACCCTATCACTATCCCTACCTACCCTTATCACTACCCCTATCACTACCACTACCTACCCTTATCACTACCCCTATCACTACCACGATCCCTATTCTACCACTACCCCTGCCCTATCACTCCCCCAAACTCGTTCACTACCACTACCCCTATCATCACTACCACGTGCCCCATCACTACAAAACTACCCCTTCCTTAACCCCTCCCCTGCCTGTTCTCCTGTCACCATAACTACAGGTCTGTGTGAGTGTGTAGATCTGTGTGTGAGTGTGTGGGTCTGTGTGCGAGTGTGTGGGTCTGTGTGCGAGTGTGCGGGTCTGTAGTTATGTGTGTGAGTGTCTGGGTCTGTAGTTCTGTGTGTGAGTGTGTGGGGCTGTAATTCTGTGTGAGTCTGTAGATCTGTGTGTGTGGGTCTCTAGTTGTGTGTGTGTGGGGGTCTCTAGTTGTGTGTGGGTCTGTAGATCTGTGTGTGCCGGTCTCTAGTTATATGTGTGTGAGTGTGCGGATCTATAGTTGAGGGTTATGATGATGGTGAGGATGAGGGCGAGGATAAGGGTTATGATGATGATTATGATGATGATGGCGGTGATGATTATGATGATGGCGGTGATGGTGATGATGGTGGTGGTGATGATGGTGGTGGCGATGATGATGGTGGTGGTGGTGGTGATGATGATGATGGTGGTGATGATGATGGTGGTGATGATGGTGGTGGTTATGATGGTGGTGGTGATGGTGGTGATGATGGTGGTGGTGGTGGTGGTGATGATGGTGGTGGTGGTGATGATGATGGTGGTGATGATGGTGGTGGTGATGATGGTGGTGGTGATGATGATGATGGTGGTGGTGATGTAAACGTGTGCCCACAAAGTCGAGCTAAGTGTGCTCCCGACCTGCAGCATGAGGCGCGGGTGCGAGACGATGACGCGGAGATCGAAGTAGACGGGGGAGGCGAGGCCGCTCTTGAGCGTGAAGCTTCCAAACTTCACCGCCTCCGACTCGAACAGCGCCTCTACGAGGTCCTCCATGGCGCACCGATCAGCCTGAACAACCACGACCACCACCACGACCACCACTACTACTACCAGCAACAGCAGCAGCACCAAAGATCCCCCGTGCCTCTAACACCGCTGGCCAGAACAACACACCCGACCGCTTTCGTCTCCCTCGTGGCGATGTTCACTGCACACCGCGTCGGGTACTCATTTGAGGCCGAGTCTACCTAGGAGCACAGCTAATGCAGTGCCACCACTACTACCAGCAGCAGCAGCAGGAAACAAAGATCCCCCGTGTCTCAGCCACGAACAACACTAGTGAAGACACCTAAGAAGGCCCGAGGGGGGTAATAAGAGGGTGAGTGGGTGGCCAGCACCACGCCCGAACCCGCCTTTGTCTCCCTCGTGGCAACGTTTACTGCATTTAAGGCTGAGTCTACCTAGGAGCACAGCCAGTAACAGCACTACCACCACCCGCTACCACTCACGCCTAGGGGCGGAGTGCGCGGCCACGTGGTGGTGGTGGGGAGGGGGTGACTGTACAGGGCACACGTGGTTAATTTTATTTATCTTTTAACGAATCAACAAAACCACGGCTTTGTTTATTTTAACAAATGTTCAAAAGATGACCTCTGTTAGCGTAACAATCGCGGTGTCCTTTATGTGTTGAGCGGCGTAGATTCAGGAGGCACGGTTAGACAATCACAACTATAAAAATGTGTACTGTACGTTTCATAGATGTGAATTGACTCGTGAATTGATGAGGTTATCAAAGCATGTGATAAACTCTTAGGTTTTTTAGGTAGGTAAAATGATAATAAAATTCAAATAATAAATTGTGATTTGTTTTTAGTTTATTTTATTATTTTACCTACGTGACTTTACCGAAAGAACTTAAAAGAGTATGAATCCTTGCAGTCACGAAAGCTTCAAATTTAGAAGCATGTGATAAAAACAATTTCCAATTATCAAACATTAATTTAGATCGCTAATAATTTAAAATTCACGGTATTTAAAAATGTGTAACAAACTTCATATTTGAACGTTCAAAATGTCAATAATTGAAGTTTTCGTGACTGCAGGAATCCATACTCTTTGGTTCTTTCGGTAAATCACGTAGGTAGAAATAAAATAAATCAAATCACGACTTTACCGAAAGAACCAAAGAGTATTAAAGACATTTAAAAATGTCTAATGTAGGATACAGGATATTGAATGAATGGCATGTCGAAAACCAGACGTAGCAAAAACATCTCCAATACATTGCATCAAGCTCTCCTTCATGTATCCACAGCCGAGTGTAGGCCACTGCTTAAATGCGCCATGAAAGAGGATCAACGCCCGAAACGTTGCACCCAAAAATCACGTGGGCAGAGTTTCAGAGACACGTGCCCCAGGCGGCGAGTACAGTGAGCACTGTACGCGACGTGGTCACGTGGGCGGTGGGCGGGGCCACGTCTCTGACGTAGCACGACTTGTTCGATCCACTGCTGCCTGAAGTCAGAATCAGATGCGAATTGAGCTGTGTGGAGGTCTTAGTCTTAGGTGTTTTCGGTAAAGTCACGTAGGTAAAAAAATTTAATTAATAAAAAATAAAATAAAAATCACGACGTTTCGGAGGCAACACAAGCTTCAGGTGGAACCGTCACAGCACGATAGCTGTATCAAGTGAGAGAAATTCCAGTATATATACAAGGACTGTTTTCTTGGAATGTCTCTCACTTGATACAGCTGTCGTGCTGTGACGGTTCCACCTGAAGACGGAAGCTTGTGTTGCCTCCGAAACGTCGTGATTTATTTTATTTTACTTTTAATTATTAAAATGTTTTACCTACGTGACTTTACCGAAAAAAACCTAAGAATATGAATCCTTGCAGTCACGAAAGCTTCAAATCTAGAACTGTGGAGGTCTCTTTATTCAAGGGCCACTCGGCCGGCAGACATCAAACAACGTCTCGAGTTGGTTTCGTCTTAGCAGGCGTCCTGAAGCCCCCGTGGGACCCGAACTGGATATCTCTCGCCCACTTCAGCATTTTACTGGAAGGAACCTCCTGGTTACACCAGCCCACAGGGGATTATTGCGTCCGTCCGTCATGCAGGGAGGGGCTGAGTGGGGAGGGTGGGGCTGGGTGGGGGGTGGGAGGGGTGGGGCTGGGTGGGGTGGGGCTGGGTGGGGAGGGGCTGGTCACCCCGTGGTGCCCTTATAAAACTCAACGTTTAACCTACTCACGCCGGCTTGTGCCCGCCCTCACAGTCGGGCATATTTGCGGAATACACCACGCCGCCGTTGACCCTGGCCATTGACCGAGCAACCCAACGTTCCTACCAGCTCCCTCCGCAGGACAATGTGTTTCTTGCTGTGGTTGTTCCACCTGATTCAGTTTCATTTATTAGATACGAGCTTTACTACCCGGCTTCGCCCGGGACTTGGATTCACCACGCCCGGCCGCCTTTGTCTCCCCAGTGGCGATGTTCACACACCACACCAATTACTCGTTTGAGGCTGAGTCGACCTAGGGGAGACCCAGGACCGGTCCAAATAATCGTCACCGGTGGTGGCCGTGAGCGGGAATCGAACTCGGGTCGCCGGGTTCGTAGTGCAGCGGCGCGCTACCCGCTACACTATGCGTTACGCTTCCACGTGCGCGGGTCACGTGACAGATGTGACGTCACAGCTCACTTGCCGGGCAAAAAAATATATGCATTATTGAGCTCCCCCCCCCCCCAAAAAAAAGTGTATTTTTATAATGTTTGCATGGTGTACAGTCTGGATAGTACCCACATGGCAAATTTCAAGTTTGTTGCATGTCGGGAAGTACACTAAACATTTTGAACAGACACATAACCACAACGTTGCCTTTTATATATATTGAGAATAGCCCTGTGAGCCATTCGGCTCTTGACTCGGGTGCAACCGCAACAAACATGAACAAGAAAACATCTTAAAGTGACTACGCACAAACAGAAAAATCCAGGAAAAAACAGCAAAGTCTTCCAGAAAAAGCACCGTACATCAATGCTGTGTGCAAAAATCCCAGTGGGATGCAAGTCAAACAATAACAACCATAAGACAATTTGCTTCTGATGAAGATTGCGATCGAAACGTCGTGATTTGTTTTATTTTATTTCTACCTACGTGACTTTACCGAAAGAACCAAAGAGTATGGATATCTGTGGCATAAAAAAGGGATCTTTTGGATTGCTCCATCCGTAATATTGCATATTCTGATTCTAACACTCAAGAGAGTCGGATTAGTCTCATTTTGCAACAAGTGGCTTGACCCGGCTTGCCGAAATGACAGAAGCAAATCGAATTTAATAAAAGTCTTTGATGGGCCCAAGTCGCCGGATCACGTGCTGTACAAGATCCACTTGGCACCCGCGCTTCGAGTCGATTTCATCGCTCCGTCTCCCCACGGATCCATCAGACGCGTTCCTTCCCTTGGCTACCACTCCGTCATTAGTCTCTAAAGTTGTTCACTTCTAGCCGTGGCGTGCCCTGCCCAAGTAAGTGCAGTCTCTGCAGTTTCCAACCGGCTTGTTTTGCTTGACGTACGCCCGATGTTAATGTCGTCTCATGCACATGTCACTTTTATCATCCGCACAGCGACTAATAAAAAAAAAAGTATTTTTAAAATATTGTTGCCTGCTGTTTACATTGTTGTTAATTTGCACCAGCTGAGAGAGCGACACGGGAACAAAAATCTCACTTCCATGTACCTCGTGTGTGCATGGATGTGATCAATAAAGCTGACTTACTGACTTACTACATGGCCACGTGGTATAACACCCGAGCCGGGTGAGCAGAGCACGTGTGGGAGATGGGTGCCAGGGGTGGTGGTGGAAGTGATGATCATGGAGGTGGTTGATGATGATGATTAACATATCCAGGAGTGGTTATGGTGGAATGGTGTCGGGTGGATGATGGTGGTGGTGGAGATGATTGTGTTGATGATATGATGATGAGGTTGGTGACAATGCAATTTTGGTGGTCGTGATGCTGAATATGGATCGGTTGATGCGAGACGTTGGTGATAATGGTGAACGCGCTGATGGCGGTGTGACGATATGATGGTGACACGCAAGCTGGTTAACATCAACACCGCCACGCTCTCCCCGAATGTCTTCGCACGCCGTTTATTATCCATCCCATCAGGGCAGAGCCGCCCCTGCCTACAACAACAACCACCATAATTACCGCCGAAACTACAGCCACAATAAAACAACCACAACCCGCGGGCACGACCCCACAGCCCGCACGGCACCTGGAGGAAGAAGAGCCATCGTCTCCTTCCCCGTGCCAACAATTGCACTCGCGCTCAGCCAAGACGCACGCGTGGTTAACATCTTATATAATTAAAGGTGTGTGTGTGTGCGGTGTGCGTGTCGTATGCGTGCGAGATGTAGCGTATCAGGTGTGCGTTGTACGAGAGGTGTGTAATGGGTGCGTGTCCAGGGCGATGTTTCCCGTGTACCCGATTGTAAGATTTGCGTGTGCGGAGGGGGTTTTGCACAGCGGTACAGCGGTTGGCGCTCCGCGCTAGGAACCAGACGACCCGAGTTCGATTCCCACTCACGGCCAACTACCGGTGACTTTTATCCGAACCGTCACCAGGCCTCCCCTTAGGTCGATTCAGCCCGAGTACCTGGTGCAGTGTGTAAACATCAGCATTGGGGGGCGTGGAGCTGGCCACACCATCCCCTCCTAAGTGCGCCGCTCCGGCATTCATAGGTGCTCGCTAACAGCACCTGCCCCAGCAATTTGTGAAGGCCATCCGGGGGATCTTTGTCTTTGTAGCGTACAGCACGTGCGTTCTCTGTGCTCTGTGTAAACGCTCGTCGTGGTGCAACTGTGGACTTATCCTTAACCCCACGTGCCCGGCTCCAATGTCAAAGCCCACGCTAAGCGCCTCCGGATTTGCCCACCGCGTGGTTGTGTAAACAATAGTTGACGAGCCCCTAGCATTGTAGTGTGTTTATACACACACCGTGTTCGGTACGAACGGTGAGTGTCGTTCCTGTGTCAGGGTCTGATGTGCGTGTCACTACATGGGGAAGAGAGCAGCGTCGTGGTTAACGCACTGCACCACCAACCCCCAATCGGTCTCCTCGGTTTCATCCCCGCTTCAGTGGCGAGTTGTATCTGTCCCAGGCCTCCTCCCCCCCCCCTAGGTCGACTCAGTCCTAAGAGATGAGTGCCTGGTGCGGTGTGTTCAACACACGTCGTCAGCTCCAGGGAGACAAAGGCGGTCGGGAATAGTGATGACCACACCATCATCAGCCGTAATCAGTGATCTTTGTCCTTAAGCTGTGTGTGTGTGTTTTATTTGTGTCGACTATGTATCCATGCACGTGCTATGTGTGTACTGTCAATGCAATGTTTATGTATGTGCCGTGTGTGTGTGTGTACTATCCATGCTATGCGTGCTACGTATTCTGTGTGTGCGAGCGGTGTATGTTGTCAGGAGTGCCCTCAGGGCTCCCCCTCCACGCCACCTCTCTCCGCGAGGGGGATGTCGTCCGACTTCTGGCCGTGCTGTAGTCTCGCGTACGACACCGAGTCACCCCTGGCGACACACACGCACACAACGTACATGCAAAGATCCTGTTGGGGCAAGTGCTGTTAGCGAGCACCTATGACGGCTGGAACGGTACACAAGGGGCTGGGTGGCCAGCACCATGCCCGACCGCCTTTGTCTCCCCAGTGCTAAGTGCTGATGTTTTACACATCGCACCAAGCACTCGTAATCGGAATCTTTATTTATCCTGGAAAAATCCAACGAGCCATGAAGCTCCAGTTGGTGTGGGTCAGAAAGTTACGGCAATACAAGAAAACGATTGGAGTGCAAAAAATGTAGGAAAGCAAAAGACAAAAATAAATAGGCAAATAGAGAAGGGATCTAATTATACATTTCAAAAGTATATCAACTCCTGACGATTGTTCAACAATAAATGCAAGCTTGGACAAGGCAGCAAAACAACAACAAAAGTCCCAGACCACAACACACAGTCCCTCAATAAAAATTGCACATTAAAATGCAACTATCGATACACGGGTAAGGTACTCATTGAAGGTTGAGTCAACTCGTGTTGCCGGGTTCATAGCGCATTGCACTAATCATTACACCACCACTTCCCAACAACTTCCGCCATTCACCACGAAGTGGCGGTGACATCACCACGATGCTTGTGCCAGGCCAGGTGCACTTTGAGGCCAAGTGAAGCGTCGAAGGCTCGCTGGCAGGTCACGGGACAGACCCAGGTGCCATGGATTTACTCACTGTGTGTGGGGAGTGGTGGGTCCCAGTGAAACCACCACTCCCCACACACAACACATACATGTGCACACATAGACAATTGTTATTTACAATTCTTGTCTATCCAGGAAAGCCTCACCGAGTCTCTTGACTCTTTTTCACGAGAGACCTGTCACCCATGAGCTGTGAACCGTGACCTCTGTCCCATTCGCCGTGACCTGTCACCCGTGAGCTGTATATCGTGACCTCTGACCCATGACCCATGACCCGTGACCCGTGACCCGTAACCAGGCACGCACTTCCTGCCGAGTGACGCGAGGCCGTAGAGAACGCCGGTACCAAACACAATGGCATTGCCCAGGATGGTGGTGAGGCCGGCACTCAGAAACACGGGCACCAGCGCCAGTCTGCACACGCACACATGCACACACACCAACACATTAACAATAATACAAAGATCCCCCGTATAGCCTTAATAGACTGTTGGTGCAAATGCTGTTATGGAGTCGTAGCTATTAAGGCTAGCACGGAATACGAAGGGGGTGGGTGGACAGCACCATGCCCAGCCGCCCTTGTCTCCCCATTGCTGATGTGTACTACACAACGCACCACGGACTCATTTGAGGCTGAGTCGACCTAGGGGAGGGCCCAGGACCGGTTTAAATATTCATCACTGTTATTGGTCGTGAGCGGCATCTTAATTTGGGTCGCCGGTTCGTAGGACAAGCGCTCATCACTGGGCCACCGCTCCCCACAATATTTATATACACGTACGACACACGTATACGCACAAGAGATTCACTGTGTAGCCTACTGCATGTACTGTTTATACCTGTGTGCCTTGTACTGTTTGCTGCGTGTACTGTGTGTCCTGTACTGAGTGTGGGGCTCACGCGCAGTACACCAGGCCCTTGTGTTAGGAGTATGTATGCTGTGTGCACTGTGACGTGTACTGTATATCGTGTATTCCACATGCACCGTGTGTGCTGTGATTGTGTACTGTGTATGCTATGTGTGCTGTGTGGGGCCCATGTCCAGAACACCAGGCCTTTGTCTCAGGGGTGTGTGTGCTGTGTGTGCTGTATATCGTGTATTCCACATGTCCCGTGTTTACTGTGTGTGCTGTGCTTGCGCACTGTGTGTGCTGTGTATGCTGTGCGGGGCTGAAGTGCAGTACACCAGGCCTTTATGTCAGGGGTGTGTGTGCTGTGACGTGTACTGTATATCGCGTATACCGCGCGTCCTGTGTGTGCTGTGATTGTGCACTGTGTGTGCTGTGATTGTGCACTGTGCGTGCTGTGGCACTCACATGCAGTACACCAGGCCCTTGTGCCAGGGCTTTAGGCGGTCGGCACGCGCCGCCACCACGTTTGCAAACTCCACGAACTGACAGCAGAACGGAGCCTCGCATAGCAGCAGCACGGCTGCAGTCAGCCTGGGGGTGACCCGGGAGGCATCGGGAGAACAACACAAAGCGTATCGGTGAGACTCGCACACAATGTTCCAATTACTGTGGGGGTACAACCAGGTTCAGTGTCGGGGTTGGATTACGGGTAAAGGGTCAGGGTTAGAGTTTTGGGACAGGGACTGGACCCAGCGTGGGGATTGGGGGTTGGGGGTTGGGGCCTGGGTGTAGTATCAAAATTGAGAGTTAGTGTACAAAATAAAGTGAGGTTTTTGGTAGGGTGTATGTGGGCATGTGCATGCTGGTGTGTGCAAGTTTGTGGATGTGTGCGGCCGTAGTGCAGTGGTTAGGGTAGTGGTAGTGCAGTGGCTAGGGGAGCGGTCACGTTGTGGTTAGTGCACTGCACTACGAACCCAGTGAACCGAGTTTGATTTTCACTCACGGCCAACATCGGTGATGAATATCTCAACCGGTTCTGGGCCTCGCTAAGGTTGACTCAGTCTTAAATTAATACTTGCCGTGGTTTGTAAACATTACAATTGGGAGGACAAAGGCAGCCGGGCGTGGTGTTGGCCATCAACCCCTACGTGTGCCGTGTCGACCTTCATAGGTGCTCACTAACAGCACTTGCTCACGTTAAGGCTACGTGGTGAAGCTCTTCCCCCTCCGCCCGCCACTCACATCATGAAGATGCCAGCCAGGAGAGTGAGTGGGCTCACGGTGATGCAGCTCCAGAGACCGGCGATGGCACACGCTGACACAACAACAACAGCAGCAGCAACAATGACAGCCGTCATTCTCCACAATGTGATGGTGCCATCACCCCAGTACTGTCTGCCTGTGCCAGGCTAGGTGCACTTTGAGGCCGTCACTTTAAGTATGGATGGTGTAATGAGTTGACCGAGATGACTGGCAGATGCACTACCTGTGCTCCCCACTGCGCCCAACACGAAGACAGAATACTATTGGGGCAAGTGTTGTGCGCGAATACAGTTATGTTCAGTACAACAAGACAAAGATCCCCCGTATAGCCTTAACAGACTGTTGGGGCAAGTGCTGTTAGCGAGCACCTATAAAGGCCGGAAAGGTACACGGGGGTGGAGTGGCCAGCACCACACCAAACCGCTTGTCTCCCTAGTGGCGATGTTTACGCACCGCAACAGGTACTCATTTGAGGCCGAGTCGACCTAGGGAAGGTACAGGACCGGTTCAGATAATCGTCACTTGTGTTGGCCGTGAGCGGGAATCGAACTCTGGTCGCCGGGTTCGTAGAGCAGTGCGCTAACCACTACGCCACCGCTCCCCACAAATACCTAGGCAGAATATACGGACATTACAAAGTACACGAATAATGGGGTCGAGACTAAATTATTGAAATTCCTCTGTCAATCCACTTCCGGAAGAAGGCGTCTCCCCTGCGCCCACGGCTGGCACGTCAGTGATGGTGGTTGTTTGACCATACTTCACCACGCCGGTCAATGCGGCTTGGCGAAAGGATAAATTATGCACACAGTCATCAATAATTAGCAATGGTCCGCGTTTCGCCGTGAAAGGAAACGCGTGGAGGGGTGCATGATGCAGACTTCTCCGAATGTGTGTCCACGCAGCACTTGACTATTTTTGACCCTGGGTCTGTTTCTTTGTCCCTTTGTCTCTGGATTCCCGTGACTCGGATTCATTCACCCAAGTCCCTGAACACTCCGTCTCCCTGTGTCTGTGTCCCTGTGTCCCTGTCCCCCTGTGTCTGTCCCCCTGTGTCTGTCTCCCTGTGTCTGTGTCCCTGTCTCCCTGTGTCTGTGTCCCTGTCCCCCTGTATCTGTGTCCCTGTCCCCTGTGTCTGTCCCCCTGTGTCTGTCTCCCTGTGTCTGTGTCCCTGTCTCCCTGTGTCTGTGTCCCTGTCTCCCTGTGTCTGTGTCCCTGTGTCTGTGTCCCTGTGTCTGTGTCCCTGTGTCTGTCTCCCTGTGTCTGTGTCCCTGTGTCTGTGTCCCTGTGTCTGTGTCCCTGTGTCTGTGTCCCTGTCTCCCTGTGTCTGTCTCCCTGTGTCTGTGTCCCTGTCCCCTGTGTCTGTCCCCCTGTGTCTGTGTCCCTGTGTCTGTGTCCCTGTCCCCTGTGTCTGTCCCCCTGTGTCTGTCTCCCTGTGTCTGTCCCCCTGTGTCTGTGTCCCTGTGTCTGTGTCCCTGTCCCCTGTGTCTGTCCCCCTGTGTCTGTCTCCCTGTGTCTGTGTCCCTGTCTCCCTGTGTCTGTGTCCCTGTCTCCCTGTGTCTGTGTCCCTGTCTCCCTGTGTCTGTGTCCCTGTGTCTGTGTCCCTGTGTCTGTGTCCCTGTGTCTGTGTCCCTGTGTCTGTGTCCCTGTGTCTGTGTCCCTGTGTCTGTCTCCATGTGTCTGTCCCCCTGTGTCTGTGTTCCTGTCTCCCTGTGTCTGTGTTCCTGTCCCCCTGTGTCTGTCTCCCTGTGTCTGTGTCCCTGTCTCCCTGTGTCTGTGTCCCTATCTCCCTGTGTCTGTGTCCTGTCCCCCTGTGTCTGTCTCCCAGTGTCTGTGTCCCTGTCTCCCTGTGTCTGTGTTCCTGTCCCCCTGTGTCTGTCTCCCAGTGTCTGTGTCCCTATCTCCCTGTGTCTGTGTTCCTGTCCCCCTGTGTCTATCCCCCTGTGTCTGTGTCCCCGTCTCCCTGTGTCTGTGTCCCTGTCCCCCTGTGTCTGTGTCCCTGTCCCCCTGTGTCTGTGTCCCTGTCTCCCTGTGTCTGTGTCCCTGTCTCCCTGTGTCTGTGTTCCTGTCCCCCTGTGTCTATCCCCCTGTGTCTGTGTCCCCGTCTCCCTGTGTCTGTGTCCCTGTCCCCCTGTGTCTGTGTCCCTGTCCCCCTGTGTCTGTGTCCCTATCTCCCTGTGTCTGTGTTCCTGTCCCCCTGTGTCTATCCCCCTGTGTCTGTGTCCCCGTCTCCCTGTGTCTGTGTCCCTGTCTCCCTGTGTCTGTGTCCCTGTCCCCCTGTGTCTGTGTCCCTATCTCCCTGTGTCTGTGTTCCTGTCCCCCTGTGTCTATCCCCCTGTGTCTGTGTCCCCGTCTCCCTGTGTCTGTGTCCCTGTCTCCCTGTGTCTGTGTCCCTGTCTCCCTGTGTCTGTGTATCTCATTGTGTCTCACCATGCCCCGTGTACCCACACCACCCTCCAATGTTTCCCCACCACCCCGAGTGTCTCCCGGTGTCTCACTCACACAGGGCCCCACACACCCCGGCCACCCGCAGCAGGACCCGGTACCACCACGTCATCCCGTCCGGGTCCCCTCCTCGCCTCGAAGACTCGGGGGTCTGTGCCGGGGATGGGGTCGCCATCCTCTCCCAGGGGTCTCCACGACCCCCGCGACTCGATCCTGTGGTGGGGTCGAGGTGCGAGTTCACTCGGGGTTCGAGACTTCAAGGGGTCGGGGACTACAGGCAAGGGGATGCCGGGGTTGATTTTGGGGTTCCCGAGTTTGGGGTCCAAAGTTTAGGGATCCCTGTAACGGGGTCCCCACTATAGGGGTTCTTAGTAGTATCGGGTAGCGATATAGGGTATCGATATTTATGGTTTAGGGGTGCAAAGTTCAGATTTGATGGTTACCGGTTCCAAGCAGACCCCCGACCAAGAGTCCGTTGGTCTCTCGCCTGCCGCTCCCTGGCCAACGGCGGCGACCACGAAGACCCCAGCGATCTCCGAGACGGCAAGGGGGTCGGGCAAGGGGGTCAGGGGGTGAGGGAGCGAAGGGGTGAGGCGGCGAGGGGGTGAGGCGGCGAGGGGGTGAGGCGGCGAGGGGGTGAGGCGGCGAGGGGGTGAGGGAGCGAGGGGTCGGGCAAGGGGGTCAGGGGGTGAGGGAGCGAGGGGGCGAGGGGGTGAGGCGGCGAGGGGGTGAGGGGGCGAGGGGGTGAGGCGGCGAGGGGGTAAGGGAGCGAGGGGTCGAGCGAGGGGGTGAGGGGCGAGGGGGTGAGGGAGCGAGGGGTCGAGCGAGGGGGTGAGGGAGCGAGGGGGCGAGGGGGTGAGGCGGCGAGGGGGTGAGGGAGCGAGGGGTCGAGCGAGCGAGGGGGTGAGGGGCGAGGGGGTGAGGGGCGAGGGGGTGAGGCGGCGAGGGGGTGAGGGAGCGAGGGGTCGAGCGAGGGGGTGAGGGGCGAGGGGGTGAGGCGGCGAGGGGGTGAGGGAGCGAGGGGGTGAGGCGGCGAGGGGGTGAGGGAGTGAGGGAGCGAGGGGGTGAGGGAGCGAGGCGGCGAGGGGGTGAGGGAGACCCCGGTGAAAGGGGACCCGCCTCGGGGTGCGCGTCACCACGTTTGATTTTCCCAGTTCACTTCCGCATGGAGGCGGTGTTGAGAGCGCGGTCACGTGGCGCTCAGCGGCCAATCGCGGAGGGGGCAGCGCGTGTGAACTGGGGAATGTGACAAGGACGTGTTGACGTCACGTGACGTGCGTGTGGGCCGTGTGGGATGGGAGTGTGTGTGAGACACGTGCGTGCGTGTCTGTGTGTAGGTGGAGGAGGCTCGTGAAGGACACTACTGGGCAGTCGGAAGCAGTTGACCTCCAACAACAACAACGGAGGGCAGAGGAGCGACGCTCACAACAACGAGCGGAGCGCCGGGTGGCTAAAGCACAGCAAGTTGGCACAGTCGGGGGCACAGGTGGTGCATCAGCCACTCATCTCGGTCATCTCAGTCAGTCGACCCGTGGCACCTGGGTCTGCCCCGTGACCTCCTGCCAGCGGGCGTTCGACACTTCACGTGGCCTCAAGGTGCACATGGCCTGGCACAAGCGTTGTGGTGACGTCACCGGCACTTAGTGGAAAATGGCGGTTGTTGTAGGTGGTACAGCTGGTGGTGGGCATCCACCGGTCATCTCAGTCAGCCAACCCAATTGCACCTGCTGGGTCTGTCCTGATACCTCCTGTCGGCGAGCCTTCGACACTTCATGTGACCTCAAAGTGCACCTGGCCTGGCACAGACCCTGTGGGGACGTCACCGTCACTTAGTGGCGAATGGCGGGGTATTGTTATTATTGGTGTTGGGAGCGGTCCATATTTTCTGTCCATCTGCTTTAGCCAGAGGTGTAGGGAATTCCAACAATACCTACATCTATGCTTTATTGACCTGGTAAAGGCCTATGATACCATCAACAGGCCAGGACTATGGGTGGTTCTTCGTGCTTTCGGAGTCCCGAACTCTCTGCTGACAATCATTAAGGGCCCTTCATGATGGTGTCCAGGCCCAGGTAAAGCTACGTGGCCAGGAGTCGGAGCCATTCCCTGTTCACTTTGGGGTGGGACATGGATGTCCTCTGGCTCCCACATTATTTAACACCATCTTTGACCACGTAGTTCCAGCTTTCCAGGGCTGTCCCGAAGGAATTCCCATCTGGTACAGATACAATGGGAGGCTGATCGATGCCCGGGTGCGGTCGGGGATGGCTCCCTATTAGTCAACCATGTTACGTATGCTAATGATCTGGTGATTGCTGCTCACTCAGAGGAGTTGGGGCACTGTTGCTAAACCTGGAGTGTGCTAAGTATTTTGTGCCACCAAACACTCTACTTCACGTGGCCTCAAAGTGCAGGCCTAGGATAGGGGCCGTAGTGACGTTACCATCACTTAGTGGCGAATGGCGGGTATTGGTATTGGTAGGGAGTGGTAGTGTAGCGGTTATCTTGCTGCTCTATGAACCAGGTGACCCAGGTATGATTCCCGCTCATGGTCAACACCATGACGACAAAATAGTAACTGGGGTGGTGTGTAAACATTGCTACTTGGGATACAAAGGCAGCTGGGCATGGTGCTGGCCACACTCCCCCTCGTGTGCCATGCCGGTTTTCATATGTGCTCGCGAACATAACTTGTTCCTAAAGTCTGTTAAGGCTAAACGGGATATCTTTTATAGGAGTGTGTGTGATGGGAGTGTATGCAAAACTCTGAGAGATTAACTTCTTTCGCACCGTACGTAGCAAACCGTGCTAATCGGATGTGCGGGGAAAGAACAAACAACACAAAAAGCAGTTCTAAATAATTTCGTTTTCATAGCTCCAGTGGCATCCGAACACAGGAGTTGTGTGTGTGATGGAAGTGTGATATGTATGTACATCATGTTGAACTTCTTTCGCACTATATTTAGCCAACCATGCTAATCGTAGGTGATAGGAGTCTGTATCCGTGTGAGTACAAGATAGGAGTGTGTGAGATTGGTATGTTTGTATGAGGTGCATAGCACCACACCACCGCAGCACAACTTCTAATATCCTTTATTCAAAATCACGGCGATTTCAGAGCATGGGAGACAGGAGCAAAATAACTCGCCAGGAAAGGGGGGGGGGGGTTTGCTCGATGTAGGCTGAGTGTGCTGGGTGTAGATTGCGGTGTGTGTAGATTGTGCTGGATGTTGCTATTTCATATCAGGGCGCTGCATGGGCTTGGCCCAGGGGTTGGTGATGATGCTGGGCGTAGCATCCTGCTGCACCCCCTTCTTGGAGCGGAAGCAGTATCGTCCGATGACCACTCCCAGCGCGATGAGTATGACGAGCAGCACCACGCTCACCACCGACAAGGCGATCACCATCACCTGCCGGGTACACGTGGTTAGCCAGTGGTGACCGGACTGAGACCATCAACTCGCTCCGCTTGAGAACCCGGGTTAATCACTATTTAGTCTGTGTGAATCTATGTGTCTGTGTGAAGCTATGGATCTCGTGCGAGTCTATGGGTCTCTGTGTAAGTTTACGAGTCTCTATACTGTATTAGCAATTTATAACCGGGCTGAGACAATCAATCTGCTTTACTTGAGAACCTGGGTTAATCACCACTTTTGTCTGTGTGAGACTATGAGTCTCTGTGTGCATCTATACATCTCTGTGGGAATCTATGAGTCTCCTGTGAGTCTATTGGTCTCTACGTAAGTCTGCTGAGTCTCTATTTAAGTCATTGGTGACGAAGAAGAGCCCATCCACCTGCTACACTTGATAACCTGCTTTAAACACTTATTAGCCTATGTGGGTCTTTGAATCTCTATGCAATCTATGAGTCTATGTAAAACCAACCCACTACACTTGAGAACCCAGTTTAGTCACTGGTGGCTGAAACCGCGATTCACACCCAGGCTGTCAGCAGTACTATATATCTCTCACAAAGCCAATGTGAACCAACTAAAAGACACCCAGATTTGATGTTGACCAGGCAGATCCTATATTTAAAGCGTAAAGAGGCCGAATGTCTCTTCATGCACCTACATGCTCGTGTGATTACTCGGTGCAGCAAGCGATGACTCGAGCTATCGGAGAGCGGACCGCACATAGTGGTGTGGGTGCATCCTTACCGTCCTGCTGCCGTCCTATGTCGGCATCGGCTCGGCGAAGTCGAGAGAGTAGCGCCCCAGGTTCCCCGTGAAATCACTCACGTCCAGCTTCACCCATGGGCTGCAGCACGGGGACCTGCGGGGCCCAGGGGAGAGACGAGGTGAGCGGGCACAGGGTGAGGGGTAGGGAGTGAGAGGTCACAATTATGTCGTTACCACCTTGGTTACCGTGGACTTTACTCGTCGATTCCTTCCGCCCCGGTCGAGGTATCGGTCTCTAGCAGACACTTGACTGTTTCGTCTCAATATCAGTGTTCAACCACCAGAACAACTCACTGACTCATCTACTCACCCACACTCACCTAATTGCTCAAACACCATCCACTCACTCACACGCTCACTCATTGATTCCTTCACCAATACTGAGGAATTGGTTTACGAGACATGACTGTTTCGTCTCATCCACACTGTCCCATCTCCATGCGTCCCACGTCTCCCACTGTTCCCGTCCCCTCGCGTGCCCAGTCTCCAACTGTCTCTGTATTCCCTTATCTTCCTATTTCCTCGCACATCTTATTGTCCCCCCATCTTCCAGTGTCCTCTGTCTCCCACCTTCCCCGTTTACCCTGCCCTGCTATCTCCCACCTCACCCCTCTCCATCAACCCCCGCCGCCCCCCACCTTCTCCCCGTGTGTGTCCATCCCCACACCTATAATTAATCTTGTAGACTCCGTCGATGCTGCCCACAGTTAGCAGCGCCTTTCTGTCCCCAAGAGCGATGTTCACTGTGAGGGGTTCCTCCGTCTCGGCGTCGATGGCTTCGACGTCCACGCTCCAGCTGCTCCCCGAGCACAGTGCCTCACCCCCGTGCTGCACCTCCGCCGTACACGCCGATACATCCCGCGCCAGCTCTCGCACCGCAAGGGGGGACGTGTCCGGGATCTGGGTGACGACAAGGAGGAAAAGATGTTCCAATCACAAATTATGGGAGGTGGTATAATTTATATTGGAGTTGCCAGTTAACCGTGTGCAAGTTAGACGCGAATGACAAATGTTTTTACACGTATACCACCAGAAATTGCCACTATCCTCAAAAATGCTAAGAAACCCATTAGTAACATCAGCAAAAACGAGCGCTCTGAACTCGCAAATTTGAAAAAGAGGGATGACATAGTCATCCTCTCGGCCGACAAGGGCAATGCCACTGTCATCATGGATAAAACCACATACAACAACAAAATCCAGGACCTGCTCAATGATGGCAGCTACTCCAAAATCAATAAAGATCCTACTAATAGCCTAACTACAAAAACCAACAAGATCATTACCAGTTCGACTTCTCTAATCGAACCAGTCAAATGGCTCTCCCTAAAACCTTCGGCTGCTAGACCACGCAGACTCTATGGTCTTCTGAAGATCCATAAAGAAGGTACCCCACTGCGGCCCATCATGTCCACGATCAACTCGCCTACCTACAAACTAGCCCGTTTTCTGTCGGATACTTTGCTTCCCTTT